CGTCATGTGCAGGCAGGCATCCAGAATTGCAGGATGCAATCGATATCTGCCAGACCTATGGCAAAGTCACGTATGTGGTTTGGGAGGGTAGAAGGACAACATACTGCTTCAGTGCATTATCCATCCCTTTGATGGAGACAAGAGCTTCTTTCTCGCTGTAATAGACGTTCGTCACGCGACGCAGTCGGGGGCCGTAGGCAGAGAAGTATGAGAGAGACGAGTAGAACGCTGTACAGAATCCGCCAGTCAGTATTGAACCTGTCATACAGCCCCAAAACTGCGTACATGAGCCCACATGGTTTTTGCATCGCTGTCGGATTGTGGCAATATCTATATCTTTGAGAGGCTGAGATGGCTCGAACGTCAAGTATCCATCTGCATGCAGGCGCTTCTGCTGCTGGGTAAAAGGAATCGGTTACTTATATGTACTGTGCATGGAGTCCCAACGATGCCTACTTTGCCCGAGTGCCAATCATGAGACGTGACAGATTGGACTTTCCAATACGATGAGTTCAACACCACTTCTACCGCCGGTGGGATTTCAGATGAAAGGGACAAAATCGCCTTGAGGTCAACGTGCAGAAGAGCAGTGGCGCCAAACTCGATGGCCTAGACACATAACAATGAGAAGTTGATAGCACGGCTAAGAGACAGAAATATTACCATCTCAATGAACCCCGCCGCGGGCATGATTGGCTCTCCTCTGATGACATGCTCTGCAAGGACCGGATGCGTATCCTTGTTAATTCTGAGATACCGATGGTTCAGTGGTCCAAGATGGGGTTCCATCTGTTTCGCATATCCAGGCGTGTCCGGATAGAGTGCGTAGCTCTTCTTCGAGAACGGATAGGTGGGAAGGGAGACGTCGCATTCGTAGCAGGCTCGATTGTTGAGCGCGGTAAAATTGACGCCATTGAACCCAGAGGCGGTCAGCTCACCGCACACCCTCAGTAGATCGACATGATCCACAGACGGCATATTTGGCTTCACGCGATGCATCGTCGATATGACCGGGCTACCGTCGCCGGCCATGGATGAGATGTAGGACACCAGGACAGGATGTGGTGAAATCTCTACAAATGTGCACGACTGCGACGCGGTAAGCCTTTCCATCGCTTGCGTGAACCGTACGGGCGATCGCGTATTCCTCCAGAAGTAGTCGGCGTCGATCGAGTCGGACAACCTCTCTCCCGTCAATGTTGAGTACGTCGGGATCTGTGGGACGTGCTGGCCAGGGTACCGCTCAAACAGTGCTCGGAGCTCTCTGCAGTAGTCCTCTCGACACTGCTCCATCATGGACGAGTGCATGGGCACGCTCGTGCGTATCTTGCGACCGAACACCCCCCGAGTCTGACAGACCTCCAGCGCCCGTGTGATCGCGATGTCGTGGCCCGCGATCGCGATGGCAGAGGGTGAATTGAAACAGGCGATCTCGAGGATGTTGTCCGGGAGTTCTGAGCGTACGCTGGCAATGATTTCCTCTGCGTCTTCCTCCCCGCATGATATGGCCGCCATACCACCACCGAGGGCTTCGAGAGGCGCGAAAGCACGTCCGCGAATGACGGCCAGCTCGAAGGCCATCTCCTTCGGAGCGGCACCGGACGCGTAAAGCATGGCAGTTTCTCCTGCAGAATGGCCGATAATGATGTCAGGCTTCATGCCGAAGCTCGCCAAGAGATCGAAGAGCGCTATTTGGAACATCGCAATGGAAGGCAAGATGAGAGATATTGGCCATACGTCCTTGAGCTTTCCTGGAGATCCACAGCCATCGAAAAGACCATAGTCACGAAGCATCGAACTGCCTGTCAACGTCTCATAGATCCTGTCCATCTCTAGAACACTATGACGGAAGACGGTGAATCGTTCGAACAACTCTCTTCCCACTGAAGAAACATTAGGGACGAGTGTATGCGAGGGAGCTGAGGGACGTACTGCGCTCGTGCTGAGGCCCTTGTCCTGAGAATACAAACACCACGGGACGTGCCTCGCGCGGGCAAAGCTGAGGGGAGGAGAATTGAAGTGCTCCCAAAGCCGAATCGGCAATCGCGAAGGAGCGCCAAGTCATGGAACGAGATCGACGCCCGAGGATCGTGGACAAGACAGGCATCTCGTCGGCACTTCTAGTTGCCATGTTGGTGATCGACTCCGAAAATGCGACCGTGCTACGAGAAGACAACCCCGCAGATACGAAGAGACTTGGCCGTGCAGCCATGAACTCCGTACGAAGATCTAAGGACACGCGAGTCGGTGGTCCTTCTAGGACGGCGTGCCCGTTCGATCCGCCGATCCCAGAGCTGGACATAGCAATCAACGAGCCACGCGCGGAGTGACATGGAAGAGGGGTTGTGGACCGTGGCACGCGTAATTGATACTTGAGCCACTGTATTGCGGGATTCAGCTCCTTTATGTTGACATTGGGAGGGATTTGGCGTGATTGGAAAATGGATATAACTTTCGAAAGTGATGCCAGGAAGGCGACGATCTCAGTATGTCTTAAAAACTGAACGTCAATCGCTGGTCGTGACTCCGAATAGCAGAGCGCATTACCCAATGTTTCCCTTGACGCTCCCTATCAGCACTTCATCTTCACGACTAAATTCCTCTCCGACCCAGTTGACTTCGGTAGGATCGCCTTTCGCCGTACCTATATATCCATAGATTTAATGGGTACAGGTATCAATGCTCGACGAGGGAACTGACCTGTAGCATGAAGTTCGATAAAATCCACTTCTCGTGGGTTGCGTTCTGCAAGCTTGAAAGCTCGTCGCATTGCATCACGCTGAGCTTCAGCCACTGGTGCACCAGGAGGAGCTCCACCGCCAGAGGAGTTTATTGCCGTGGCTAAGATCTACATATCGTGGTCAGAATACATACCGCATTGGGGAAGACGGTATTGGATGCATACCGTCGCATAGATCTGATCTGCATCCTGGAGCGCCTGCTGAAGAGGTTTAATCACAATCGCCACACAAGCTTCCGCCCTTCCAAACCTGGGCCAAGAGGTTAATGAGAGTGCTGATATGCTCAGGATAGTTTCATTACCCGTCAGCCGACGCATCAAACGGCTTGCATTTCCCATCGCGGGATAGGAGGGACCCTTGACTGTAATTGAACCAATCAATGAAGCTAGCGAGCGCCTCTATCAATGTTTGGCAGCCTAGACATGGGCATTTCGCTCACCGGTGGTTGAGCTGACATCCAGCCACGACAGCAGCATCACATTCTCCATTTGAAATGGACTGCACTGCCAAGTGCAGTGCTGTGAGGGAAGAGCTGCACGCCGTATCAGTTGGGACAGATGGTCCGAGTAAATCGAGATGGGTGGAGACGCGGTTGGATATCATGGATGGGTTTCCCGCGAACGATCCTTCACAATCAAACTCGTCCTAGAAGGTGTTGTAAGTGCCTGAATCATGCGAGCAGCGGTGTAAATCCTTACCGGGTCAGCGACATTGGTCAATTCAAGATTCGTCCCAGAGGTGAAACACCCAACGTTTCTAGTGCGATAGTCGATTCCCGAGTCCACGAGGGCCAGGAAACATTGTTCTATCAGCTTTCTGGTCGCTGGAGCCATGGAGCGGGCGTCTCTAGCAGAGATTCCAAATTCGACGTTGTCAAACAAGTCTATGTCCTTGAGAAATGATCCACCATTGACTCGTATTTCTCCGCGGTTTTTGCCTTTCCACCTGGTGTACGTGGTAAGCCACGTGCTCAATGACACCATACGTGAGAGGAACGTACGCCTCGACATTGAATCTGCCATCCGGCATGCATTCGTAAGACTCCTGGCCGTTGAGCAGGAAATCGAAGAAGGAGCTATGTTCTAAATTCGCCTTCGAGCAAGCCCCGCTAGGCAACTCGGCAGAGATTCCGACCTGAGAAGAATGAGGATTGATGTAATACTATAGAGGAAAAGACATACTATGGCGATAGAGGTAGACATTGCTCAGGTCGATGAAAACTGACATCTCTTCTCGGTACTTAAACTGCTGGATGCGCGTCTGAGTGGAGAATGGACGATGAACCATCAGAATGTGAGCATTGCTGAAAACACCTACCGTCGGGTTACGCATTGGTGCATGATCCATGAGCGATGATACACGGAGAATATGGGCATTTCGGCTGGGGTATATTCCACGCTGTCAGACCATCATGGACGCCCAATCTGACGCTGCTTGAACACAATACCATGATCACAACGCAGTTGCTCTTACGCGACAGAGCCACAAACGACATATAGCTCGCTAATCTCCTGAGCGGTTCCCGGGTGAATTGAGTTTACCACGTCCGTAGACGCCTTTTTTAAAGGGGATTGTGTGTTTCTACTGAGATCTGAGTGGTTAGAGTACTTCATAGCCTTGGTTCAGTAACATTTGAAATCTGGAAACCACGCACGGCATCAGGTCTATTGTCGCTATCAGGTACCTGGCCGCACGAGTTGGTGTTAGTAGCAGTAGCATGATACAGTCTCGGACTCAGTCATTCACACTAGCCCCTTCGTTCGCGGAGCATTTGACGAGGCGCCAGGCAGCACAGAAAGTTAGAAGCGCCCTGCCAGCACAAAGGGAGGTTTAAACTCCGCATTAGATCGAATCTCGATCTGGCCAAGTAAATACCTTCGTGACATCATCATGCTTCCCGCTACGATGACAGCTGATTCCATATCATAGCTAATTTTATTACTTACTCGAGAATATTTGTGCGGGAGCAGGGGTTTATGGTCCCGCCCTGGCTGCGGCAAAGCATGGTCACAGCCACAAAGTAGGCTGTTGTTTCCAGGGCCCGCCTATCCCCGCCCGAAGTCCGCCTACGCGCACATTGAGTTTGACAAGTCTATCGATGTGGAATCAGCCGGGATACTCCATTTGTCGTGCGGGAGAAACAGCTTGACTGTCATGCAGCCGAGCTGGCAGACTCGGAGACCCCTTGGGAGAAAGCGGAAATGCTTACTTACACGGGACGACACTGACTAGGCGCGCCACAAGAGAACGTGTGTAGATACGTGAGCCAAGCACTTCTTCTCCGCCCGTGCCGATGCCGATCTGTAACGGCGAACATACATTGTTATATGGGTCTAAAACGATCGGATGTTCGCAAGCTCCCGGGATCCAAATCGAAAGTTATAACTACATTACGGGTTAAGGCTAGAACACGTCTCGACCGAGAACCAACTGGCGTTCATTGCAGAGGCGCATCACAAAGTTTTCATGTCCCGCGTTTGGACTAGTACTCCCTGCACCGCATGAAACTACTTACTAGCGTTGACGCGGTTCATCAGTCTGCCGGATGCCGCTCTATACTTAGGCCATTGCCTCCGCGAAGAGAAGGTTCGAGGTTCCAGAGGAAAGAGATATGGCCATGGTGAATCTGCCAGCGTCCGACACGATTCAAGCTCTCATGCGTGACCATCGATGGCCCATGATAGATGGGCGTGGCTTGGAGCGTCGTTCATGAGCAGCGACTGGCGATGCGCGGCCGATGTCTGAGGGCGGCTTAGGAACAGGAGAAGGGCAGCGTATGTTGTCTTGGATTTGGTCCGTTGAAGGCGTATCAGGCTCTTCTTAGCCTAGTGACGGTCTGAGATATGATGAGAATCCAGTTAGCAATTGCTCCCGACCGCTCGCGTCATGTCTGCGAGAAGATGTCAATCAAAGGGCTCACTTTCACCAGCTTCGTAAGCAACGGCACGCAATCACGTCGTAGGATATTTCTGTATGGAGCTAAATCCCCTGACACCGGTTCGAAGGATTCTCGTCCTCAAACATAGGTGAGATAGTCCATCGTTTACGTTGCCAGAACGATATGGAAGAGAGACCAACTCCAACACCTGCGAACCACCATCCGTAGCCATTCCTACTCCATTCTCTCTGCGTGATATGTCGCTGCAAGGTACATTTCGCCACATGGCCATGGAACTCAAGCGCGCCTTGGTAGCGATACGGCTTCTAATGACCTTTTCGATTGACAAAAGCGACAAATGCTGAGGACATAACCAATGGGTGCAGCACTCCAACGCTTAGAGGCATGGGATCGTGGGTAGCCCGTTGCTGGACCCTTTCTTGTCGTCATGAGCTCACCGTGTGGAATATATCAGTCTGTTGCCTGACAGTAGGAGACGGCAGAAGCCGGATTTCCATTTTCAATTGTTGCGGATGACCACTGCTGCCCAGCATGTATGCCATCCCCATTACCTCACTTTAAATAAATGAGATGTATCTTTTGGCCTGGGCATGGACAACTTGGAGATGCGTGGATGAGCGCAACTCTAGACATAGTTCCTAAGGCGACTTACTGTGCTCAAACGTCCGTCAAATGCCGCATAACGCCCTTGCGGGACTCCTGGCTCGAGGCGGCGTCCTCATGGGTCCGTAGAACCCACTTTTAGTGAGACAATACGAGGAGTCACAACTGTTGCGATTACCTTCAATGTGGAGGCTCTAGACACGTTCAAGACAGACTGTAACACATGTCTGCCGGTACGTCCGCAGGCTAGTGTGTTGCTTGTCTTGTGGCGTCACACCTATGATAGACGCGTCGGCGATTCTGCGATGAGCAACGTACTCTCGGCTGACTTGACACCACAAAGTGAGGATGATCAGCCCGTGTTCGTAGTCAGAAGAGTGCCTGTTATTGTCAGGATTATCGTCGTATAGAACAAGAGTGTGTGATTTCTCAAGTACCTGTCATTTCCGTACATGAGACGAAAGTCCGGGGCAGTTTGGTAGTTGATCCCTTAGGCTAGGATGTTGTTCGCTAGCATCCTAATTAGTCCCGCTCGAGGGTCGGAATGCCACTGAGGGCGCTTTGCCGGGCGCTCTGAATCATTGAATTGGCTTGGACGTTTCTGCCAGCGGCCATCAGCGCGCCACGGGTCCCCATAGCCTGCAGCATGATTCCATCAGCGGAGATAGCATTTCCTAGTATGTACCCTCTAGGACTCAGGGTTTGTTCTTCCTGGGCATCGTGGTATCGTATACATACCGCCGTATCCGCACCCCACCACCGCGAAAAAGGGGTCTGGGGGAGTTCAGTAGACGCGCCCCCTCCACTAAGCGCCCCACAAGTGCCCGCATGTAATGGTCACAGTAGGCTTCTCGTACCTGGAAATGATGTGATCTCTGATCGCTTTCCAAATACCGTACTCACACCTAGCAAGTCGTACTCGAGACTGGCGGACGCTACGTCGGGGTCTGCCGCAAATTGTCATATATACTTGCATCCGAGATTGGCATTAAGTATGGGCCCAACGGACTTGCAGGCTGCAGATGTGCTGACAAAGGCTCTCGGGCATGTCAACTATGAGCAGTTTGTGATTGGTATGGGGTCAGAGGTGTGCCCCACTGAGGGAGCATGTTGAAAGTCATACATAGATACAGACTAATTCAGTAGGACATTAGTAGATACTTAACGCCACCGATCATTACATTACGTAAGCCGCTGTTGGCATAGATGCGACCTTTGCGCCGCTGCGCTTCAGCACTCGCATTCTCTTCTCGAACGCTGAGTCATTTTTTGGTCGCGTCTTACTTGCAACCTCATACCGACAAAAAATGGACCTTGGTTCCGTGGTCGGAGGATCACACCTCATCTCGGATGCTGGGTTTCGTCTGGCACAACGCACATAACCTGACTGCCGTCCGGGCCCCGTTTCGGGAGTTTCAGATGTAACATTTTGGCTCTAGAGGCCCTCGGGGGTTTCGGGATCCGAGCTCTTGAGGGATTATCCGGGGTCCTGTGACAACGGCTTGAGCTGGTACTGAGGAAGGGACTCCAGAATTACTGCACCGTTCGGTTTCGTTCAAGCTGTTTCGTTCAAGCTTAAAATGAAAGCAGACATTTCGAAACCTACGTCTATACAAAAGCACGAAGGTAATCGAGTACCGTGGAAGGGGATACCATGAAGTTGCCGACGACTACCCAGGATGGCACAGTATGTAGGCGTCGCGCGCCGTAGGTAGCCCCATAGGTTTGTAACATATTCACCCGTTGATCCTTGTCCATCGAGGACAATTTGTGCCGGCGGGGTTCCTGGCGTCGTTCTCATAGCTCCCATCATGGCCGCCCATCGTCGCCGTTTCTGTTCATCAAATGTGTATATAAAACTCACTTTCACGGTCTGTTGATACTTGTGGCTCTGAGTCGCAAGTGATTCTCCCTGTGCCTTTTCGATGTTATTTTCTCTGCTTTTCCTCTCCACTATTGCTGTGGCTTGCTGTTCACTTGCTAGGGGTGCTTTGTATACGGATCCAAGCGCTCTTCCACAAACGACCTATGACTTCGTGATCGTAGGAGGTGAGTGCATACCGTTTGATTGGCATGTTGTACAACCCTGACGACTGCGAAATCCCCGTACAGGAGGCACCGCAGGAAACGTCCTAGCCAATAGGCTCTCTGAGATTCTTTCGTTCTCCGTACTCGTCATAGAGGCCGGCCCTTCGTATGTACTTGTTTATGCCAGAACAGTATCAGCTAACGCTTTCAGCAGCCAGACAGCAGTCTTCGCAGATGAAGTGCCGTTCCTCGACATGACTTTGACTCCCGATACTTCTATTACGTGGAACTACACTACCACTGAACAATCCAACTTAGACAACAGAATAATTACATACCCTCGAGGCCGTGTCCTGGGTGGATCCAGCGTAGTTAGTGAGTATGTTTGCTCGACTCTCCCGTCGGAGCTTCGCTCGAACGATTCGACCACATAGATTTACTTGTATGGACAAGAGGGTCAGAGGATGATTATAATCGGCTAGCTGCTGCTACTGGGGAATCAGGTTGGGGCTGGAATAGCATGCTTGACTACATGATGAAGGTATGTGCAGTGTCATCGTGGAATCAGAGCTGATAGAATACATCGCGAAACAGAGTGAAGACCTTGTCCCTCCGAGCGATCATATGGACACCGCCGGGAAAGTGGACTCGTCTGTGCATGGTACGAACGGACCAATCCACATCAGCCTTGAGGGGTATCCGGTGAACATCGATCAGAGGATCATCGGCATGACAAACCTGACCCCACCCGTGTTTGACTACGTCGAAGATATGAATGCCGGTTTCCCAATCGGTCTAGGTATGGCACAGATAACACTTTGAATATCGATGAAATGCGCTCATAGTGTTTTGAGGTTGGTCACAGAGCGCAATCGGTACTAACGGACATCGAAGTGACTCTGCAACTGGGTATCTGGATCCTGTGCTTTCGCGATCGAACCTCGACGTCCTGGTTGAGACTACTGTGACGAAGTTAATATCTAATGGAACACAGGATGATGAGCCCGTGTTTACGACAATCCAGATGGCACAGAGTTCGACGAGTGAGTACATGCGCTTCATTCTTAGTTCAGGGCTATACGCATATGCCAGGTCAGATCTACACCGTCCATGCCAGCAAGGAAATCATCCTGTCTGCCGGCTCTATCAATACTCCACAGCTCATGATGCTCAGCGGAATAGGAGATTCCGCCACTTTAAAGTCGCTCGCGATTGAATCCATCGTTCACTCCCCGGGCGTTGGCCAGAATCTGATCGACCACCCGCTTATCACAAACAACTGGCTCGTAAACTCCACGAACACTAATGACGAGTACGCTCGTAACGCAACTCTCGCAGCGGAGGCGCTTGCCCAGTGGAACGCGACTGGAACTGGCCCTTTCGTGGACAATAACGCGGAGCAAATTGGATGGGCCAGAGTGCCTGAGAGTATCTTCCAGCAGTACGGTGACCCGTCCGCCGGTCAGAACTCGCCTAACCTAGAATTCATCATTGCTGTGAGTGCTACAATGATTGAACTTTCACCTGCCATTACCTCATCCGTGTTGCAGAACGCATGGGCATCCTGGACTCAGCCCCGACCTGCTACCGGCAATTATCTCACCGTCCTCACAGTTGTAGTATCCCCCGGATCCCGTACGTATTTTGCCAATCCGTGTATCGTGTCCACTGACCACGGCTCCAGGCGGCGCCGTGACTCTCGCCTCCAATAGTATCTGGGACATGCCGTTAATAGATCCCGGCTACTTTTCTGACCCTTTCGACATTGCCGCAATGGTGCACGCGATCAACATGTCGAAGACCTTCGTACAGGGCCCGACGTGGGAGGGATATGTCATCGGACCCGTCCCTGAACTCGCTGCAGCGCAGACGTACGAGGAGCTCGAGGCCTATGCTCGGAATCAGGTCACCACGATCTGGCATCCAGTTGGCACCGCCCGCATGCCAGCTAATTCAAGTGATGTGGAAGCCGTAGTCACTTCTGAGCTTCTCGTGAAGGGCGCCTCGGGTTTGCGCGTCGTTGACGCCTCGGTGTTTGTGAGTATTGCCCCTATAATCCGTTAAGTTTGCCTTCGCACTGACGCGCGAGAACCCGTAGCCTTACATCCCGGCGGCCCATCCTCAGGCGCCTTTATATGCTCTCGCAGAGAGAGCTGCTGATCTGATCAAGGCTGCGTGGGGCGTTTGACACTGTCTGTGGTCTCAATCCTTGTTGTGTCATCGCCACTGCCTTGTGATGGATGTGAAACATTTTCAACCGCATTAAATACGATACAGAGACAGTTAAGATCTGACAGTTGTGTAACAGCTTTTTCGTGGTGGTCTCCAAATACCCACACTTGCGAATAGTGTGATGTCCAAAATGCAGGCGGTCTTGCACTGCTGTATTGACTCGGATTGCATCCGACAGCGGGCGCTTGTAAACATTAGGACAAGCAAGCCTACATGGTATAGTTTCATATATACTAGTCCGTTACGCAATGACATTGTCTGTCATGGAATACTGTCAACATTCACCGTCGACTCCATCCTCCGCTCACAACAGCGCTGCAATTACGCCGGCCCCCACACCAACAGCCATCTTCCACTGTCCCGCGGATGCCGTGGGCGCGGCTCCTGTTGACTGCGATGTGGTAGGCGACGTAGTTACGCCGGAGCGAGACTGCCCTGCGAGTGAGGTTGTTGTGGCGGTCGTCTGCGACGGCGGCGGCACCGTCTCTGTCTGGGTGATCGCACTAGACGCACCGCCAGCCGTGCTGCTGCTTTCCGAAATCGGCGGCACCGTCTCTGTCTGCGTGGACACACTAGACGCACTGCTGGTTTCCGAAATCGGCGGAATGGAAAAGGCGCTGGAGGTCGTCGAGACGGGAGGTCCTGATGCGCTTACGGGTGTCGTACTCGTCACTATCACTGTGGAGCTCTCCGAAAGAGGGACAGTCTCTGACGAGATGGTTATGCTGCTGATGAGGAATCAATTGAGAAAGCCGGTGGACAAGGTCTCGACTGCAATTGCTTACCTCGACGCAGTGCTCGGAGGTACCGAGAGTACGATCGACGAAGTACTGAAGCTGGACGTCTCACTGGCAGCCTGCGGGGCGGCAGCAGCGAGGCCGCTGAGTACAATAGTGCACGAAAGAGCGGTGGTCCAGCGCATGTTTCGGGGCCGTGAAGTCAAGTATTACAGCGATTGAGGGTGTATGGACTGCTTGTGAGTGGACCTTTATATTGACTCTTCATGCATTCCAGGCGGAACCATTTTATACGTTTGCACACCGGGGTTGGGGAGCCGAGTGGAACATGGTGGAGAGGCTGTGCTACCGCAGCACGACATGGCCCATCATAGAGGCGGGGACATGTCAGCGACATGTGAAGCGTGCTTCGCATCGTCGTCATCCGGGCTCACAAGCCCTACAGCGTGCAGTTCAAGGGCGGGCGCTCAGGCAATTAAGCATCGCGTGAGTCTTGGATCTTCCACCATCATTTGAATCAGATTAGATTAGATGACGTGCTCATCTCAGCCGCCTTTGCTCAGGCCTCCAGGATGCACGGTTGATTGCACTGTCTATTACTTAGTCCTTCTCGTAGACGCACTGTACGGCGAGATGATGACCGATGTCGGATGCACATCGGGGGCTATCATGTGAGTAAATGCTATTCGATGCGTCAATGATTCACTGCGGATTCTTCTGATTTTCCTCAGGCTGTCAAGTGTGCATTCCGCCCACAATCGGCGAAAGCTCAAGCACCTCTCTTTGATAGTATGTTCAACATTGTCTTAATTTATTCCTGCAGTAGCTGCAAACCTCACGGTTCCATCAATTGCCCTCGTACCACCTATTCTACACATCTGGACTCTCCTCCCAGTCGCCTTCTCAAGTAGCTCGAGAGTGCGGACATCGTACGTGCTGCTCACTCCGATCGGCTTCACTTTGTCCTCGTCCTGCAGCCTGATGAGCACTTGCCATGCCTCGAGCGTTTGAGACATTCGTTCGGAGGCGAGTGGAGGAGCAAGCTGGCGAGGTACGTCGTGCCTAGATTGCGAAGGGATTTCTGGAAAGATGTCTCGACGTGCGTTGTGATGCTGTCATGCGGATTGTATGGGAGCGGTTTCGTGCGGTCCTGGACTCCTAACGATGTGTACCTATGGCAATGAATTGGTATCACTTGAAACGGGACATAGAGGATGCTGACGATGCACTCGCCTCTCGAGAAGCTAGTGCACGTTCCAGATCCTCATCGTGTTCAGCGTACCACGCGTCGATATACCGCTCCTATTCGTTGCTTCGTCCGACTCTGTCTGTCGCAGCGCCCTCATCTGTGGGTGTTGCTCCGCGAGCTTCCGCTTGAGATCGCACGAGCAGTCGCGCAAGGTAGTGGCGGTGAGCTGCGGCATTTCAGGACGCACTGTTATTCGAGTCCCAGAAGTTGTCCATTTGTCCTATCTCTAGTCGATCGCGTTGGACTTCATCTTCAGGCCAGTGTTATACTTAGAGAGCCGCATCAATATGTTTGGGCGCGAGCTGTACGAGACTCTCGACCAAAAAAGGCGCTTTCAACTTGATGTCGACGATCTCCATGTTCAGATAGCAGAGTTTATACCCTGGAACATTTTGCCAAGAGATTCTCGCACGTGGATATCCTTGTGCATGCTCCGAGAGCTCCGTCATAACTTTGCTGAGAATCCGCTGCACTGCGACAACTGCCACTCCCTTAGAATATAGTTATATGCACTCATCATATCGTGATCCCGCAAGGTCAAGCTACTGTCCGTCCTGGATACCGTGCTCTGCGTACCTTTAGGCAGATCAGGCATAGCAGCCGGTAAGTTGCAGTTCTCGCCGTGTGCGTCCTGTACGTCTCTACCACGATCCCCATTGTCATCTTTGTGGTCAGAGGGCTACTCCTAGCGCGGGTTCATTTAACAAAGACGGCGGTTGACTCTGGCAGGCGTTGAGAATGCTGCTATGTGTGCAGAGAACACTGGTGAGGTCTATCGCTCTCAGCTGCCACTGAATCGCATTCCCAACGAGGTATCAGTTGTGACTTTGGATCGATTTCTACCAGAGTCTGTAGATGGTTCACGTACAATGTCTTCAATGCCTCAGACTGCTGATGCGGTACTCTGCGCGTTCTGTGTGAGGGCTGCATGATTGGTTGTAATCGCATCGCACATATTTGAATGTAGCACACACAGTCACGTAAATCTTGCATTCCAAGACGTATACATATTTATGGAAGTCTCCTGAGCGATGTGTGGGTAAAATTCGATAAAACAGCGGAATTTACTCCTTCGATCCAACACTCTCTAGAAGTGATTCCTTGACTCGACCCGATCGCGGGCGGAAGGTACACTTTACATTTTCTGGAAAGCTGAATATGTATCCGTCAGCATAGGACCCTATATACACAGTAAGCGAATGTTGAACATGACTGACACAACTGTTCCAGACGTAAGGCTGACTTCGGGAATGATTTCTTGTCCGTACTCATCCACTGCCGGCACCACGTCACATGTCGCAAGAACAGTCACCACAATAGCGAAGATGGTGCCCTCTGCGAAGTGGTACCCGGGACAGGCTCTCCGACCAAATCCAAACGCGATGTCGGTGACCTTCGTCATCTCAGCGTCGAGACCGCCATATCGCTCAGGTCTGAATTCATGCGCCTCAGGATATATAGTAGGGTCATGGAGCATTCCCCTGTGACACACGTATTGAGGCAAGTCTAGTGCTCAATAGAGAATTTTGAGACGTACCAGACATTTGGCATTATGACAGAGCCTTTGGGCAGAAACAAGCCGTCGTAGAGATCATCCTGTCTGAGGGAATGTGGGATACCTGGTATTGTTATCGGTGCGGGTTCGCCCACGGGAAGGACAGCACAAAGTCATACCGAGAGGTACGGCAGGTAGCCATCGATACACTTCCGTCACCACGCTACGAATGTATGGCAGGGACGGTCTATCCGAAACCCGGGGAAGCCTATTCGTGCCTATGACGGCATCAATCTCAGCTTGTGCTTTCTTCTGAACCTCGGGGAAGCGAAGCATGGCGAGGAGGAACGAGAGAATAGTGGATATATTCTGTGTTTTATCAAGTTAGTAGTCCATAGAACCTCCATAAGTTGCCTTAAGGCACACCGTATCTAGTCCACCTCCAAATACTGTCACTGCAGCGTTGACGAGGGATCGCTCTTGTGCGGAGGAGAGGTCACCATCCGCGGCAGCGAGAACTGATCCGCAAAGACTGATTGTACGTTTCGAATCATTTGCCTGGGAACATCAGACAGGAGTGAACGAATGGAACAGGAACTACACTGAAAGCTGTAGCCTACCCAGTTCTCCTTGCACCAGTTATATGGCGCCCATGATGCGTGCTGGAACACTTGACGCCACTCTCTCGCCTTCTTTGCGAAGGTGAAACCAGGTACCCAATAGGGAATGTACTTCACTGTAGGCGCTGCATCAATATATGAGAAACATTGGCGCAGACGAATGTCACGTACGCAGGGGCACGAAGTCCACTGGCCACACTCCCGGCCTTGTTGCCTCACTGAACTGATTATCGGCAGCAATTCCTGCGACAAAAAAGGGGTCGTCTGGTCCCTTGACGATGTAGCCATATGTTACACGCATGATAATGCTCGCGAAATGCCTGCGATTCACATGTGAGTTCTAGGTTGAATTCGTCGAACATTTCCTACATCAGATAGAGAACTTACAACTTCGTGTGGCTTTCTAGTAAGACCGGATTGTCAATGATGGAGAGGACAAACCGCTGCGCGGCTACTTCTTGAAGGCCATAGTAGCGAGGGACGTTCGATGAGGTGAAATTGTGGGAGACAAGCTTCCGCTGATAGCGCAATTCGTGGCCGTAGGATTGAAGAACAAGCAAGTCCTTGTAGCCTACTCTGTTTTGTCATATGTATACCTGAAGTCGAATATGGCGTTATTTGACACGCACTCACAGATCGCCTGCCATGACCTTTCAAGAGCATTAGCCTCGGGCACTGTTTGAGTGCGCGGCGAACTCACCAGGTGCGGTCGATCCGAGTATATAGGCGATCGTTTCTCCATTAGGTCGCGGGCCATCTGGGAGGAATTTATCACAAGTATGTGCTGCCGAAGAACATCTAAATGCACGAGGGGTCCTGTGCATATACCGAGTCAATTATAGGATAATCAGGAATGGCCTCCACGGACGTAGACTACTTACCGTATATCTTCGCCCATTCTGTAAACTTGAGCCAAGGATGGTGTTGAGGTATCTGGAGTGCGTTGCCTAATATCGGCCAGCAAAACGGACCAGGAGGCATGGGGCGTCGCATGATATACAGAACGACTTCGCGGATAAGTAAAATCAAGATGGATGAGATAAATATGGTGGAAATGGAGTTCTGGCCCCAGCGAGACCAGAAGCTCAGGGCTTCACTAGCAGTAAGCACAGAATGCATGGTGTAGAGGGAAAGTATTTGGATGATAGGCTGAAGGCATCATTCACCCGCGAGGGTTTAAATGAAGGCGCACCTGATCGACTGTCCTGCATGTAGGCTAGCATGCTTCCGAGCTATAGGCTGCATTCTGTGCCCCGGTACGATCGCACCGGAGGCAATGCATATTCTCCGTGCATCATTCCGTGCAGCCACAGAAATGTTGCTAGGACGGTTTGAGTTCAGTCTAAACATGCTACTGTGATGCTACTGTATGATAGCCAGCCAGTTGTATATGTAACTGAGCGCAGATTATGGCGAGAGCGGAGATTAGTGGAATGTTTGTGTTAGCAAGGCCCGGGTAAAGCTACGACATGTGGATACGACATGAAGACGCTTACAAGATATCCAGACATGGCCAGTGGCCTCGACCAGCCCTCGCACATTTAGAGTTTAACTAGTTCCGATGTTGTACTTGTCCATATTTGCGGTCTCCTGGACTGCGGCGCGTACCTAAGATCAGCATTCCTAGAAACGTCTCGTCAGCTTATCCACCGCGTTTATACTGTCGCCAACGGGCAGTGGATTCGAGCCGCAACTGGTGTGAACTTACCAAAACACGTGCTCATAATCGGAGACGCTCGCGATGCACGTACCGTACGTGATTGTCCCTTACGGGCATCGCTACGCCTGTCGACAAACACGCGCGCCGACAAACTTGTTGACTATAACCCCATTGCTTCAACATGTCCACTATTCTATCAGCATACAAGTACAGTTATTGCACACACTATACAACTTTGTTGAACAATCTTTCCATCCTCCGTATCAGTTTCTACCCATGTATCATCATTTTCGGCATCCTCCAACTCTTGTGGTAGTAAATCACCATTATTAGATTCAGATTGCTGATGACTGTAGATGTTGGCAAGCTTTTGAGGTATAAGGAGGACATTTGACAAGGAGAAGCTTGTATGATCTGTGGCAGGTGCTTTGGCATTGTGTAGGTTGAGAAGCATCCTAGAAAGTAAAACAACTGCCATTCTGAATTGTGTTCAAATAAGTTTGGATATTCTGTAATCTATTATGAATGACTTACATTTCTGATGTAGTAAATCCTGTTTCACAGACTTGTGTTATTGTCAACACCATATTCATCAACTGAAGCATCAGTGAAACCCTACAGTGGCATCAGTCCTGTGTACATATTTTATTGTTAGCACTGTGTTTTACCCAAAGTACATTGCACCTAAGATTTGTCAGTTTGGGCATTTATCACACTATAATGTTAAAGAATGACTGACCATCTCTCCATAACACTGCTGATAAAGAATGCTTCATAATGTGAATGCTTCTAGCCAGTGTTCTTAATTCATGTGTTCTATACCATATCACTGCTAGTGCAAGTGCTTCAGCCACTATGGTGCAAACAACAGATGATATATTGACTGTAAAAGTGTTCATTCAAATGACTTCATCAAGAAATGAACATGACTCACATCTAAACACCATCATTTTAAATTGTTCATTAACAAATATTTCACATACAACACATTGTGCATACCTGTTGACCACATGCATAGGTGCACTCAGGTAATAACATCCATCTGCTGGTCCTGAGGGCTTTCCATGCTCTCTCCATTCAGAAGTCTGATACTAGTAAAAACATCTATAAGCTTGATACCAGCACTTTGGTTGCTATATCACTTACAATATTCCAACAAGTGGATACTGACAATAAGGCCATTATAACAGCAGGAAGCTGCCATTTGTACCCATTGACTGCATAAACACGCAATGCAGAGATCACTGAAAATATATGATGAAAGGATTAGCATTTACCTTCAGATAATTTGGCAAAGGTTATCATACCATTGGCCAAAATCTGAATCAACAAAGCTACCGCAGGCCATGATTGATTTAGTATATAAACCCTGTGATAGTGACAATATATTAATTGCCACATAGTGAATTATTATGGCAGAAACCATGTACAGACCCCTAATAAGTCATAAGCCAATCAACAAGTGAAAGAATGAAGATGAATGCTTACCATGCATGAAGATGACCAGCCTTGCCATGTTCCAAAGTATAAAACCACACATGCAAAGCCACCAACATGTAGCAAAAGCAACAATATGCTAGCAGTGCTAAGTGGCTGGTGCCATACTCTTGCGAGTTGGTCAAAGGTTATGAGAAACTCGTAAATGTAAACAGCTAAATCACTGTTCAGTCATACTGTGAATTAGCGGGCAATTCATTAAATGAACTTACTCATGAAAGCGAGAAAGGTGTAGCCATCAAGGTTCCTGACGAGCAATGTTTGAGACAAGTTCACAAGCATCAGTTGAATCTAACTCACTCTTGCTTGATCTCCACAAACTCATGAAGCGTAACCGAATGCTGCTGAGACATGACGGAGAGCGGGATCAAAACGAAATGAACAGAAGCGAATGGCTAGCAATCCGCGCATCCTCTACTTATACACTGAAGGTGAAGATTACATGGAACCCGACGAGCTTCGCAGGCAAATACCGCTGATGAGGTTCGAACGCAATTGAATTGCAGACCACAAGATTATAGTCGTAGCTGAGCACCGGTGGTCCTGATAGATCAGTGCGACGAAATTACAGATAGGAAATTCTAAATGAACGCTTCTGATCGAACACATGACCGGCCAAGTCTCGCCATAAGCCGTAATGATGTCCGCAACGCTGCAAGATACATGCGTCAGAAAACATCCTGCGACAGCTTCCATGCACATGATGAAAGATGGTATATGGTTCGATTACGGCAGTGCCATGGACGCTATACGGCGCGAGCGTTAGATACCTCCGCCGAGCACAGCCAAAGCAAGACTTCATAATACAAACTGCACAGCACGGTGGTCAGCGCGAGCGTGCACGGAGACACACGCCGCCAGCATACCTGGTAATTTTTGCTTTTAGCGCATGCGCAAGGCCAGCAGCGCCCGATATGAGCCGTAAGACCAAAATTCTATCAGACACACCGCAGCGCGCAATGTAGTTGCACCTTCTGAGGAGCTTGAAATTCGGCTCCGTGTTATACGGGTGCTCAGGGCTCGCCTGCGCACAGGGTCCAGATGCACAGGAGACGCTTTCTCTGAAGAAGCCTCCCAGCTGCAGGCAGATATTTGAATTGTGGTCTGTCGGAGGGCTACGGAGACCGACACGCTAGGGCGACCTCGAGACAGAGAGTAGCCACCCTTTTCAACGGGCGCGAGGGGTTGAAAGGGTCTAACTGTGGGCGGCCGCAGCACCACACCGCAAGGTGAACCTGCTGACCTATCAAGGAGCCTGGAGCAAGGCGACAGGACACTGACCGGAGTGCGGATGAGCGTGCACACCGCACCGTAGGCTGCACGTCGCGCGGACCTCCCGACGAAAGTATTGTTGCGCCTCCGTGCCGATGAGTCTAGTCGTTGGGTAGGCTTCCACGAATTATTGAATGGGACGTAGGTGGCCGCCGGCATGCTACTCGCACTGACCGCGTGCATACGCCCGTTCCGAGGTCTGCTGCGCTGGGTATGGTTCGAGCTGCTGCTTACTCACCATATTGCACATGATGTCTCCTGCTTTGTGTACTTGAAAAGAGCACTTTCGTACAAGTGTTGAGCCTTGACGTTGAGCACAGCGTGGAGGCTCGTGCTCACCCATGATACAAGACCGCCGAGTCTCGAGCAGAAATACATGGACTAACCGGGATTGTCTAGTTGTCACACCTGCAAAGACGGGAACTCAGAATGAACGAGAATTGTATTCTACTGTAGGTTTAGACTGCAGCGCATGAGAATACCAGAGGACGTCAGAGACGACGGACGCAAGCCTACCCTTGCTAGAACGGCGCGACCCTCTGGCACCCCGATCCCGCTCTCTACCGCCGACTTTCCCCTCTCCCTGCACCTCTTTTCAATCACCATGCGCGCGGCACGGTAGCTAACATTCCTTCTGTCGCCCCCTAATTCCTCGCATATGCTTCGTCTACTGCCATTTCCTCCGCGCCTGATTCTGCGCATTTGTGTATGGTCGCGTTGAATCGCGTAGTCGTCATTATCATGTATATACCTGATCGTAAAACCATTGCGATCACTTTTATTTGAGTCTTGCTGTCCGATTGACATCTTGCACACGTCGCTATCCCTCCTGTAACGGTGCATTCAGACCCAGGTTGCGGGTAGCCGATTGTATCGCACTTGCTACTCCGATGTACTGCTCGAGGAAGCGGGACTCGCTTCTTCACCAGCCTCATCGCGCACCTGAAGCGGATACGGTGTGGATCGCATGCGGATGTGAGTGCGCAGTCCTCGATGTATCCTAGTCTAGCTCATCAATATGGCTTAGGATCCGCTGCCCGCGGCGCAAATGTTCACGTTTCACGGTGTTCTCTTAAAACCGGCTACGTTGCGGTATTCTGCTCTCTGAATTCTCGTAGTCAGCGGCGCTTATACTGTGCGCCACGACTGGCTTCATACTCAGTGAGATCTCGAGCCTGCCGTGAGGAGTAAATCGACCCCGGGCATCAGTATTGAAGTCCAATCGTAGCGAGGGGGTCATTTAAGGTACTGTCCTTCAATATGATATGGCCACACAAACATAATAATGTTACACCTTTAGCGAGAGCTCCATCCGTAGTAGGACGAGTGCTGCTTTGAATAGGGTCACCGACACCGTCGTGTGTCTTCTACGCAGAGAGCATAAGAAAACAACGGCATTGGCTTTATTAGAGATGTCTGTTTTATGACAAGCGTATCGAACGGCTGTCCAGATCACGCCCCAAGGTCTCTCTTCTGTCAACGGGTGTGAGGCCTCGTCGGAACCTTAACCTATTACTTTCCTACGTGATTTATCCAGTCCCTTTGCATTCCATCTTCCAGTATCTCCATCCCCCACCCTCTCTGTTCCACATCGCATCCACCGCGTATTACCGCGCCTATCTGCTGAATGATGCAGACATCAGGCCTGACGCTAGAGCCACCAGGTGTCGCTTCTCCAGCTACGCTGGCCGTCGCCGCGGTGACATTTCTCACTGCTCTCGTACTCTATGAACTGTTCACGTACCGCAAGCGGCGATCCATGCCGCCAGGCCCATTCCGCTGGCCTTTCATAGGAAACACTCTCCAGATCCCGCAAGTCCATCCGTGGCTCACATATTCACGCTGGGCACAGGTATACGGTAGGCGGTCTGTAGTTTTCATGGGGATAACAGGGACGTAACGTTATATCCACAGGCGACATACTTCACCTCGACGCCCTCGGACAGCACATCATCGTGATCAACAGCGCCAAGATCGCGCGCGAACTGCTCGACAAGCGGTCTGCGATCTATTCTGGGAGACCTCATCTCGTACGTACGATGTCGCTGCACATAATAGCCGGTTCATGTCCATGGATTGTTTAGGTGATGGCGGGAGACCTGTCAGTACATCCTCTTGAGGCAGAAAGTAGCTTAATCACAAACGCGACTCACCATCTCGTAGCGCAGGACAAGATAGGTTACTTATCCTGCAACCTTACGGTGACGAGTTCCGGCAACAGCGACGATTCATATCCCAGGACCTCAGCGTCGCCGCCGTTCGACGGTACTATGACATACAGGAGGCAGCGGCCCGTCGACTCGTCCTTGGAGTCATCAATGATCCCGGGTCGCTGGAGAGTCAGATCAAGGTGTAAGATCCTATACTGACCGCAGTGAATCGTCGACTCACAGGTACACTGTTTGATGCCATGCAGGAATATTGCGAGCATCATCATGCTCGTTACGTATGGCTACACGGTCAAGGGCACCGACGACCCCTTCATAACGAGGCCGTTCGAGGTCATGGACAACTTCAACGCGTCGATGACACCTGGCGTATGGATAGTGGACATGATTCCCCAGCGTGAGCGTTGTTTGTCTCCTCTTAATCACCAATTCCAATTTATCACACCGCAGTCAAATACCTCCCATTGTGGACGCCGGGCGCGACGTTTCTCAAGACGGCGAAGGTGTGGCGCAAGCATCTCTTTACGACTAACTGGATGGTATACTCGTGGAGCAAGGAGAGCTCAGTACGAGTAGTCCTCACGTACTTCCCGGCATTATTGAATATTCTTGCGTCTAGGAAAATGGCACAGCGCGCGTTCCCAATCTGTGCGCGTCGGTCCTTACGGAGATGGAAGGCAAGGTGACTCCTCAGTTAGAGGAGTCCCTTATGTGGGCCGCAGGCACCGTGCTAGGAGGCGGTCTGGATACAGTACGTCCGTTTGGAACATGTTTGCAACAGTATACTTTACCATTGCACACCCCAGAACATCTCGACCATCCTTTCATTCATTCTCGCAATGCTCCGCTTCCCCGACGTGCAGAGGAAAGCACAGGTCGAGATCGACGCCGTGGTGGGGAGCGAGCGGCTCCCAGAGATATCCGACAGACCATCGCTACCATATATTCGAAGCGTCGTCACTGAAGTATACCGGTGGCTTCCGGCTATTCCTCTATGTACGGGCTTTTGCCCAGGTCGTCACCAGTGCTGTGTTGATTTTGTCGCTTGCAGGTATTCCACATGCGCTCACTGAGGACGATGTCTACAATGGCGTCTTTCTCCCCAAAGGCTCGGTGGTCATGCCGAATGTGTGGTCAGTCACAGAGCCTCTTCCGATCTCGTTGCGTTGTCAGTCTAAATCCACATCCAGGCATATGCTGCATGACCCGACCATCTACCCCGACCCGGACGCATTCAAACCCGAGCGATATGGCGGGCTAGACAGCGAGATGAAGAAGGTGACCGACCTTGCGTTTGGATTCGGGCGGCGTGCATGTCCTGGGTACCAGTTCGCCCAAGGGACCATCTTCACGATTGTTGCGACCATGCTGGCGACGTGCGACATAGTGCCTGTTGTCGACGAGCATGGGCAAAACAGTATTCCTGATGTCGGATACACAACGGGAACAATCATGTGAGTCGTTGCTGCTCGGTGGTCACCGTGCGCTGACTGAGCGCTGTGCAGTTTCCCTGTAGATGTCAAATGCACATTCCGTCCGCGGACAGAGCAGGCTAGAGCGGCGCTCGTCGAGGCCAGTGTGCTCTGACCACTGGACTATCTGAACAGGAGGTGGAACTCGGTCACCTTTAAGCGGATAGTGGGCTTCATATGTCCTGATCGCGGGCGGACGGAGTATATATGACGTCTCCTGGACAGCCGAATGCATCCACATCAACGTCAGGCACTGTAGGTTCTGTATGAAAGCTTATGGTCAACTAATTGCAGAGGGAAGGGACATTTCCCCGCCCGCACCCGTTGATGGCTGAGCTATGCCATATGTCTGCAAGGACAGCTGCTACGGTAACAGATGGCAAAGTGTCACTTGAGGATCCAAGGGCGATGTCGGCGACATTCATCATCTCAGCGAGAAATTAAACATGAAGCATCGTCTGTGAGCAGGAACATACTACTGTAAACATCACCCTGTTTGAGGGAATGTAGAACATGTGAACCGTTGGTAAAGGGCGCGCCGTTCTGATGAATGCCCATTAATCATTATTCCCACGCCACTCGCGTGGACGTCTTGTAGCCTTCGCCTACGATTCCAGTCTCTCCCCTGTGCCAGCCGCTCTGTTTCACACAGACCTCCCATCGTGTGCCAAACCAGCAGGTGCCCCGTCGTCTAACCGCACACGCGCGCTGCCCCCACATCCCGCCCGTCCCTTCTGGCACGGGGGTCGGTTTTCAGATCGCCGCTCAAACTCGCAGGGAACGCATCAGCAGAGTAGCATTTTGATGATCGCGCCGGTGGCGCCACCGCCGTGCGTACACCGCTTTCTCGAACACGTCTCTGCTATGATGATTGAGGAACAACTTGCTTGACTCGATTCGATCCGCATATATGGACGGCCATCACCATGCCTAGACGTGCTCTCTCTCAGACCCGGCGTCAGTCATGCTGCAGCCGATCCAGCCGGTCGACAGATGGAGGGCATATAAGGTCCAGTTACTAGAGAATATATACATGACAGAAGCGAGGCGGGCAGAGCAGTCCAGCGAAGGCAAGAATGTAGACGCATACATGCTGAACCTGGCGCCGAATCGCGACGCGTCTCAAACGCGCGATGCTTAGGTCTATATGTGACGTGCCGAGTGGCTTAGAACCGGCAATCGACGACAAGAGGGGTACAAGAGATATACATAGATATCCGGAGCCTGCGTAGGTCGAAGGAAGTGAATTACGTTCTGCTCACAGGAAACTAGTCCCTTCCGTCTTAGCACGTACTCGCACTACGTGCAGAATTCAGATGCTCACATAACAGTTTTGTGCATGCCTATGTTGCCGAAGGCCCTGGAGATCTGTACGCGGAGGTGCGCCGCCTCGTTGCTTGCATATAAGCAGCCGTTGTTTATGCAAACGTGCAGAGTGCGTACCGGCATGCGGGTCTGGGTCTCCAGGAATAGCTAACTTCTCACGGACGCATTTGGATTGCTCCCGCGACCTTTGTCGCATGTACGGCAGATGGGTGGCATGAATCGCCGCTTGTAGGACGTGGACAGTTCGAAGAGTACAAGAGCAGCAGGTGTCACCGCGACAGCCAGCGTATCGCGGCTCATGAAAGATGCGTCACGCAGTGGCTATTCTATCGCCAGAACGGGAGTTTGACGGTCAGTATGCATGTTCCGCTTCACAAGCCGTGTCAATCTTCTCCGCAGCTTCGTGATCTCATCGAATATGAAGGCAGTCGTGATACACATTGCGCGCACAAATATCGATGGCATGTCATGGGCAGTCAATTACCTCTCTCTCCCACCCCGTCCAGTTGCCGTCCGCTGTTTTTATCACCTTCCCCCTCCTTTGTTTCTTTATCCTTTTGTTGTGGTTTGTACGTCCTGCTGTTTTGTGCCTTTCTCTGCCAAGCATTGAACCCCAGCCCTTCCATGAATCTCGCGGGCGCGTGCCTTATACCCGCATGCTACTTGTCACTTTGCCCCGGTTTTCCCGGCTAGCTCTATAGCGTATTCTGTATCGTTATATCGTGCCTACGCGATAAAGCCTCCCCTTGCATGCGACTGTCCTCGCGTGAGCTGCCTACTCGTGAGCGAACCACGCAGCGGGTTCCCGCCACCATCGGGCAGCTCCCCTTGCTGCGCGTCCCATCCTGGCTGACGCCAGATGTTCCCCATCCATTTAGCTCCCGAGCACGCCTCGTGTGGGCATTCCTTCCGCACCATTTCCCTCTGCGTCGACAAGCGCCAAGCGCCAACTGGACGCGAACAAATCGTTGATCGCACGCAGACGTGAGTGCACAATCCTCGATGTATCTCCGTTAAGCTCACAGACATACTTACTGCTCACGTCCGGCAGCCGTCTTTTAGTAATTGCCGTGTTCGGGTCTCAGGTCCTAGGATCATCTATGCTTGCAGTGTTCCATGGCCGGATTCGCATCCAGTGGGGTCACTGAAATCTGCGGAGCCGAGCGAAATGACACGAGGTGTGGCGCAGCCCATGCATGTTGGATCTCCTTTCAGTAGGCTGTGGCTGCTTCTTGATGATACCGCTCGTCAATCTGATATGATTGTACAGACACGGCAGTTTTGGCTCCTCAACGAGAGTTCTACCCATGGTAAGATGAGTGCTGCCTCGAATCGGGCCACCATCACGATAGGCTTACGACGATAGTGACGTCCGATTGGTATGTGAGCGTTTAACTATGCACTCCACTGTCAGCTGCATACAATCGCGCTCGTGGGCCAGTCAACTATTAAAGCATGCCTTACTACTTTCCTGCTCTCCTCTGTAGTTCCTCCACTCCCCTCGCATTTCGTCTTCAAGTATTTTCATCCCCACCCTCTCTGTTCCACATCGCATCCACCGCGTATTACTGCGCCTATCTGCTGAATGATGCAGACATCAGGCCTGACGCTAGAGCCACCAGGTGTCGCTTCTCCAGCTACGCTGGCTGTTGCCGCGGTGACATTTCTCGCTGCTCTCGTGCTCTATGAACTGTTCGCGTACCGCAAGCGGCGATCCATGCCGCCAGGCCCATTCCGCTGGCCTCTCATAGGAAACACCCTTCAGGTCCCGCAAGTCCATCCGTGGCTCACATATTCACGCTGGGCACAGGTATACGGTAGGCGGTCTGTAATTCTCATGGGGATAACAGGGTCGTAACGTTATATCCACAGGCAACATACTTCACCTTGACGCCCTCGGACAGCACATCATCGTGATCAACAGCGCCAAGGTCGCGCACGAACTGCTCGACAAGCGATCTGCGATCTATTCTGGGAGACCTCATCTCGTACGTACGATGCCGCTGCACATAATAGTCAGTTCATGTTCATGGATTGTTTAGGTGATGGCGGGAGACCTGTCAGTACATTCGCCCTGAGGCAGGGCGTGGTAGATGCACCAGGGTTGCTGACCATTCTGCAGCGTAGGATTTGATAGTTCGCTGGTAATGCAGCCCTACGGGGATAAACTCCGACAACAGCGACGATTCATATCGCAGGACCTCAGTATTGCCACCCTGCCGCGATACTGTGACATCCAGGAAGCAGCCGCGCGCCGACTCGTCCTTGGAGTCATCAATGACCCCGGGTCGCTGGAAAGTCAGGTCAAGATGTAAGGTCCTGTGTCGACCATGGTGCAAATGTAGACTCAGAAGTATACCTTTTCATGCCATATAGGAGCATTGCGAGCATCATTATGCTCGTGACGTATGGCTACACGGTCAAGAATGCGGAAGACCACTTTATCGCACAGGCGTTTGAGATGATGGATAATTTCGTCCTGGCAATCGTGCCGGGAACATGGCTGGTGGACATCATTCCTCCACGCAAGTGTTGTTTTGACTGCTCTGAGGTATCTATTCTTATGGGTCCTACCGCAGTCAAATACCTCCCATCGTGGACGCCGGGTGCGACGTTTCTCAAGACGGCAAAGGCATGGCGCAAGCATCTCTTGACGACCAACTGGATGATGTACCGGTGGAGCAAGGAGAATTCAGTACGAAAAATACTCACACTTCCTAACATTATTGATGACTCTTGTCTCTAGGAAAATGGCACGGCGCACGTTCCCAATTTGTGCGCGTCGGTCCTTACGGAGATGGAAGGCAAGGTGACTCCTCAGTTAGAGGAGTCCCTTATGTGGGCCGCAGCCACCGTGATGGGAGCCGGTTTGGATACAGTAGGCCCGTTTGGAACATGTTTGCGATAGTATACCTTACCATTGCACACATCAGAACGTCTCGACCATCCTTTCATTCATTCTCGCAATGCTCCGCTTCCCCCACGTGCAGAAGAAGGCACAGGCCGAGATTCACGCGGTGGTGGGGAGCGAGCGGCTCCCAGAGATATCCGACAGGCCATCGCTACCATATATTCGAAGCGTCGTCACTGAAGTATACCGGTGGCTTCCGGCTATTCCTCTATGTACAGGCTTTTCCGCAGGTCGTCACCAGGACTGTATTAATTTTGTCATTTGCAGGTATTCCACATGCGCTCACTGAGGACGATGTCTACAATGGTGTCTTTCTCCCCAAAGGCTCGGTGGTCATGCCGAATGTGTGGTCAGTCACAGAGCTTCATCCGATCTCGTTACATTGTCAGTTCAAATCCACATCCAGGCATATGCTGCATGACCCGGCCATCTACCCCGACCCGGACGCATTCAAACCCGAGCGATATGGCGGGCTAGACAGCGAGATGAAGAAGGTGACCGACCTGGCGTTTGGATTCGGGCGGCGTGCATGTCCTGGGTACCATTTCGCCGAAGGAACCATCTTCTCCGTTGTTGCGACCGTGTTAGCCACGTGCGACGTAGTACCTGTTGTCAACGAACATGGGCAAGAGATTATTCCTGATATTCGATATACTACGGGAGCAATCATGTGAGTCGTTGCTGCTCGGTGGTCACCGTGCGCTGACTGAGCGCTGTGCAGTTTCCCTGTAGATGTCAAATGCACATTCCGTCCGCGGACAGAGCAGGCTAAAGCGGCGCTCGTCGACAGCGCGGCCACACTGCTTTGATATACCTGTACTGTCACTATCGGTGGGTACGTGTTTGAGGGACGCTAGTGCCCTGCGACTTCGGAGTAGCAGTCAAGATAAAGCGCATCATGTTCCTCCGTATGGACGTTGCACTACTGCAGTCAAGATGTCTTGCCAATGTTTCAAGGGACACATATTCAGATATATATACTTTATACGTAGGGCATGTCAGCATTGAGAGGTTATTCTTGCTCAGTTTCAACGGCTTCGACGAGGATATCCTTCACTCGTCCTGATCGCGGGCGGAAGGCACACTTGACGTTTTCCGGGGAGCTGAACGCATCTCCGTTAGCGTCGCATAGCGCTCAATTTCGGATTGAAGGACTGACACGATTGCTCCCGACGTAAGGCTCACTTCTGGGATAACCTCTTGTCCGTGCTCATCCACGGTCGGCACCACATCGCATATCGCAAGAACGGTTGCCACAATGGCAAAGATGGTGCCCTCCGCAAAGTAGAACCCGGGGCAGGCTCGTCGACCAAATCCAAACGCGATGTCAGTAACCTTCGTCATCTCAGCGTCGAGACCGCCATATCGCTCGGGTTTGAATTCATGCGGCGCAGGATATATGGATGGATCATGGAGCATTCCCCTATGGCACACGAATCAATACAATGCCGATGTCTGATAAGAGACACTCCAAGGCGAACCAGACGTTTGGCACTACAACAGAGCCTTTGGACAGAAACAAGCCGTCATAGTGATCATCCTGTCTGAGGGCATGTGGGATACCTGCCGCGAAATTCGACGTGAGCTCGCCTACAGAAGGGATAGCACACAAGTCATACCTAAAGGTACGGCAGGTATCCATCGATACACTTCCGTCACCACGCTACGAACATAGGGCAGGGAGTGTCTATCCGAGATCAGGGGGAGCCTATTCGTGCCTATGACGGCATCGATCTCAGCTTGTGCTTTCTTCTGAACCTCCGGGAAGCGAAGCATGGCGAGGACGAACGAGAGAATGGTTGATATATTCTGCTTTCCACGTGGTAATTAGTAGGCTGTTGCTGCATGCAGCGTGAGACGCATCATAACGCACCGTGTCCAAGCCACCTCCCATCACAGTAACTGCGGCGTTGACGAATAGCCACTCTTGATCAGAGGATAGCTGGCTACCTTCCGCGGCGAGTATTGATCCACAGAGACAAAGGCCATGCGCTGCGTCCCTAGCCTAGGTACCGAGTAAACACGACCAATGAGGAACCACGGAAGAACCACGGGCTCGGGCCTACATAATTCTCTTTGCACCAGTAGTATGGAGCCCACAGTGCACGCTCAAGCACTCCGCGCCATTCTCTCGCCTTCTTTGTGAACACAAATCCCGGTACCCAGTGTGGGACGTACTGCACTGCAGAGGTTCTATCAACAATCTCCAAGTACCGAAGCAGGAACAAACGACGCACGAATGGGTACAAAGTCTACTGGCCAGGCCCCTGGTCGGGTCGCCTCGCTGAAGCCGTTGATGACAGCGATCCCAGTGGTAAACAACGGGTCGTCTACTCCCTTGACTGTATAGCCATACGTCATGCGTAGTATGATGCTCGCGATGTGCCTGCAGGTCTCGAATTAGCTCCTGACAATTGGCAGTTTGCTCCCCATAGACGTACAGTCTCGTGGAACTTTCCAGCGAGTCTGGGTCCTCAATAACGGCCAGAACAAGCCGGCGTGCCGCCGCCTCTTGAAGATCGTAGTAGCGATGAATGACTGACGGGCTAAAACTGTGAGACACAAGCTTCCGCTGGTACCGAAACTCTTCGCCGTAGTTCTGTAGAATCAGTGTGTCCCCAAATCCTGCCCTGGGATACCACATATGAGGCCAGGTACAGTGTATTTCCGTGTGGATGCACGCACAGATCACCGGCCATTACCTTGAACACATATTAATTGCGAGCACTGCTTAAACTCTCAACGAGCTCACCAAGTGCGGTCGGTCAGAATAGATAGATGACCGTTTCTCCATCAGGTCACGAGCAGTTTGTGCAGAAGTGATGACAAGCATGTGCTGTCCAAGGACATCTAACTGCATGAGGGGACCTGCAGATGTTCCGCCACACTCAGTGTAGAGCAAGAAGAAGGTTTCGTGGACATATATCACTTACCGTACATCTTTGCCCATTCCGTATACTTGACCCAAGGATGATCCTGAGGTAGCTGAAGAGCATTACCTATCACTGGCCAGCGGAATGGGCCAGGGGGCATGGAATGTCGCGTGAAATACAGAACAATCTCACGGAGAACGAAAGTCAAAAGGGCCAAGATGCATATGGTGAGGACGGAGCTCTGACCCAGGCGAAGCTCGAAGCTCAGGGCTCCGCTAGCAGCCTGAGCAAGTACGGAATGCATGGAGTGGGGTTCAAGTAAGACGATAATAAGCTTGGGTCATCATTCAACTGAGAGTATTTAAGTGGGGAATGGCTTGACCGAGCGCCGCCGTACAGGTGTGCTAGCGTGCCTTAGAGCAAGGTTTGCATATTCCTGGACAGCGCTATCGCTACACATGCGATGAATGTTCCCATTGCATCAGATGTTTGAGTTCCGTCGAAGGGCGTCGCTTCGGGCTGGGAAGCATGGATGTAGTAGGATCTTTGTAGCAGTAAGCGGCGGCAATGAAGCGTATATGCGACACGAAGATACTTACAATATTAACAGACGCACGTGCACAATGCACAATTACCTCAACTGTCACAGAGCATAGCAGGCTCGGATGTTACGCTCCCGCAGTGTCCCAGAGCCCGGGATCACATGAGAACGTCCTCTAGGGAGAGAGAAGTTCCGAACATCCGCATTCAAGGTAGCTTCCCATGGATCCATGCATCACGCCTATACTGCCGCTGAGGCACAGTGAACTCTAAGCGCCAGCGAAGGCGTCTTCTCTCTATGCTTCGAGAGCTGGCTAATCGGCCCACCGCGCCCATGTATCTTGCTTCCAGCTGCTTCCATATCGTTCGACCTATTGAGACCTGTTGAGGTCAAATGTGTGTGTAAGCGGACTTCGGTGGTAACAGGCGGGCATTGGAAACAATAGCCTACTTTGGTGAATAGTGGCTGTGGCGATACCTTGCCGGGTCCAGCCAGGTCGGGACCAAGGTCCCGATCATTGGTTCCGAGTTCCGCATCAACCCCGCTTACTCACAGATATTCTCGGTGATAGAATCAGCTGACATGAGGAACGTACCTCCGCAATCTCTGCCGCGACGGAGTTTAAACATGCCGCCATGACGTGTGAGTTTGCAATTTGGTCGCTTCTAGCCGGCATCCCTCTACAACTCGCATTTCGTTATGAATTACCTTAGAACTTGGCACACAGGATGTCAGGCCCATTAGCAATGGTGCCCAGGTGGTAGAAAAGTAAAGCTTCCACCCCTTGGAGCAGATCCGCTCAGGCGTCAAACTCTTTTGCAACAATCGCCATAAGTCACAGTGCCTAGAAAGATACCATGACTCATACCTGTCCTTCCTCTTTCAATCCTCGCTATGCAGCTTGCGAGGGCTCCGTTTTTCACGCAAATATATCGTCCTACGAAGGGTATCCATTCGCTCACCAATATCAGGCCCGTCTTCTCGTCCCAGAGCGTATCAACCGCTGTTCACCGTTCCTTCCTGGCGCGTGTCCGCGCAGGCTGTCGTTAACGTTCGCATCTCTTTCGTATGCTATAGTAAAGACTCATTCCGTCGCCCGATATGCCCCCGTTGCGATAGAGTAAGCCCACATGCTCGCTGCGACGCTAAGGATAGTCGGGGTTCCTGTATGATAATAACGTTGCGAGGCTCTCGGACCAGAATCGTACACGGCTGTCACTGCACGATCTGGTTGTGTCGCAGCGCATGACAATGGTAGAATATAACTACGCACGTCGTACGGCCTGCAACAATGGTGATAGCCCCCCCACCACCCGGGTATCACACGCGCACCCTAGTGATGGATGATAGAGCGTTCTCATCAGGATCCGCGTTAGGAATCGGTGTTTGTAAAGTGGGCTGAGGAAGCTGTGAATCCTCGGTCGTGATGCCGTCGTGGCTATTTAAGATGGGAGTGTCATCACAAATCATCAGCATCTGTCAACGGCTCGACATCGGTGTCATTCGCCACGCCAGAACGAGAGAAGCATCAAGCACGGTGGTGATATGCACTGAAGATGCCTGCACACTTGTGTAGTACGTGCGCAAGCATCCGCAGCGCGACGAGGAAATCCCCATGTGCCCTGCTCCGGGACCATCATGGTGAGCGACGTCTGTACGCGCGCTTGTGCTTACTCGTCGGGCAGTCGGGCACGAGCGTGACGCTCCGCGAGACCATGCTCGCGAATGGGCTGCTCAATCCCGACATACTTATACCTTCGCCCCGTACTGTGCCTCCCCGCGCAGGCGTCACCTGCAGCCAATCAGCGAGCAGGATTCTGCGGAATTTCTCGGGATGTTCACAGTCCGATCAACAATTCTGGTTCCTGAGCTAATCAGGCAAGAAGTGCCGACTCGGGGGGAAGGCCGACTGCACGGTACGGTCGGTGCGCCGACATCTCCCTTGCGAAGATCAAAACATGCCGTCCGGTCATCACACGACGACGCGTCGTGAGAGGTCCAGGGGTCGCAGAAGATGGAAGACTCGCGCACCATGTGCGGACCCGAAGCTCCGGGCGTCCGCCGAGAGGCTTACTCGGCCCCGACTGGTCCTTCTGCAAGGTGCGGTGGCGCCGCGTGAGAGATCGCCTGTGTGGCCACTAGCTCCAAGGATGGGCATGGGCGAGAGGGCGAAGGCGACAGGGGGAAGAGAGAGAAGGCGAGAGGGTGGAAGAAAGAGCGGGTGCAGAAGATCGGATGATGGCGCAACGGGGCGCTGCGGACTTGTCGGTCGCGGGTCTGCCTGCTATGTTTCTCTACGTGATGAGACTCTGCGTGATAACACCGGGCGAAGGACTTAACTTACGATCAGAGGCGCATCCTTTTACGATCTCTGTGCTGCAACAGTAACATGTCAGTCATACACTTCAGCCAATGATATCATGCCCACATAAGAAGCAGCCGCCCAGGATGAGACAAAGCATGAACACTAAAATATGCGTATTATACACCGATCGTAGAGTCACCAGGTATCCAGAATACACACAGCAGACGTTGGTTGCGGCCCACCCGCCTCGCACACTCCGCTCAGCCGCGGCAGGCCCACGTATGCGTATACACAACACATGTACATGTACACGGCCACGCAGCCCAGACACTGCGTGGCGAAGATGTCCGTGAAGTACGCGACGCCGATCACAGCACGCAGGCATACAGTAAGGCGACAGCGCGACGGACACAGGCACGAGAGAACGACAGGGCATGGGACAGAATAGGTAGGATAAATTAAAGTAGGGGCGCGCGGGCGTAGGCAGGCGCAGGCGGGCGAACGGTGCGGCAGGATTCAGACGGCGACCGCCTTCGTGTCACCGACGTCGCCAACATCGCCAAGCGAGCCGTCGTCCCAGTCGTCGACGGCCTTGTTCGGCGTCACACGCGGCGCGTCGACCATCTCGTGTGTCTCGACGTTCACCACGACACCGCCTGCCGGCGTACGCGAAATCTTGGACACGTTCATCGAATGCTTCGTCCCAAAGCCGCTGATTTCGCCGCTCTGCAGGTGGGGTCAGCATGCGACAAAAAGGGGTAAGCACAGCGCGAGAGAGGGGGCGTACGCGGGACGTAGACGTGGCCTGGAACATGCCCTCCTTGTCGCTGGCGGATTGGAGAATGGAACGCGAGTTGAGCGTCGTAAGCACCGAGTTGCCGTAGAGTTTGCACAGCACGAAGTTGAACGCTGCGCGCGGGGTCAGCCACACATCAATGCTATTTCGCAACGCTCGTCGGCTCACCCATATGGAGAGCGCTCGTCTGTCAGCCAGAACCCGCGTGAGCGCACAGTTCAAGCTGAAACAGATAAAGGCTGCCGTACCGTCGAAAGGTAAGAGATGATATCCATCAAAGCGAAAGTGGCCGTCAGAAGACCGTTCGACATGGTGACTGAAACATGACCGTCAGTCGGACGCCCCGGTCACACATTGGTGGTCAGATGCGCACTATGGATGATACGAGAGATGACGGTGTCCGTGTGCGTGTGACCTGTGCGGCTGCGTTTCTGTAGGCCCGCGTCAGATTCGCATCAACGAGGGTGGCCTGACGCGCGGTCCACTCACCAACTGCAGGGTGATTGCGCCAGCGATTGCAACGTCACACACAGCGGACGAGACGAGCCACGTGAGGGCAATCTGCTTGTAATGCACAAAGTTGACGAAGAGCGGCTTGATGGCCATGTTGATTGCAGTGCCGATTGCACCCACTGCACGTTCGACAACGATCAGCCACTAGCACAAACACCAGGATGAGGGATACGCACAGCAGCTGATGACAGCGAGGGCGGATATGCACACGACGACCCATTTGGGCGCGCTGAGCTTGCGCAGTCTCCATGCGTAAAAAAGTTGCACTTGTCCGGATATGATGCCCTGAGAGAGATAGTCGTGAATCGTCCGCTCCTATCATGGTCGGGAGGGTAAGATGCCTACAGTGAGCGCGATCTCTGAGCAAATGCGGCGCCGTCAGTGATGACATCTTAGGGAGTATCAAGAAATAGCTTACGTGTCTCAAACACTGAAACAAACACCAGTCAGCTATGGTGTAGGCGGAAGTAGGGGCGATCAGACTCACGCCAGTTCGCAACGGTGACGGCCTCAATGTTTCCTGCAGCGGTACAAGCTTTTGTGAGCTGCCTGGGCGTGCTTACAAGTTTCAGGCGCCGTACCGAAGTTGTTCACAAGGACATTGTAAATCCACCACATGTTGAACATCGAGTTCAGTGTGTCAGCAAAGAAAAGAATTCCGACCTGAGAGTGTATGAGTGCCTGTACAACGTATGGATGGGCTTAATAAGGATTTACATAGAATTTGATCCATTTTGCGTCCCTGTACACAGATAAGACAGGAGATCCTACACCATCCACAGGAATGCTCACCGTCTGTATGTCGAATAGTAAAAGAACGTTTGTGTGAGCATGACCCCATACAACCTACGAGTCCGCTAATGTCAGCGGGGTATGTCGCGCGCAGGCACCAGCAGTTACGTACATCACGTTCATGAACACGCCGGCCAAGCAAGGGCCGGCGCTGTACGAGCAGGTGAGCACAGGCTGTAGCGGTCAAAACGAGCGCGGACGTACATGTACTGTGCAAGTTGGATGGCCTCACTCTTCATGCTCAATGTACAATGGCGAAGTGGAGGGAGGACGGAGAGACAAAGCGGGCAGGTATCTCGGCAGGTCCGATCGGTGCATGCGGATTATATGGAGGAGCTGCTTGATCAGGCTGCCAGGAGCGTCAAGATCAGCGGGAGCGATCCAGTATCAGCTCCCATGACACCCCATCTGCACGCCCGCTGGCACCTCCCAGAAGCAATGCAATCCCATCAAACCTTGTGCACGTGCGTAGCGCCCTCCGCACCGCCGGCGTGTTCGCGTCTCTGGCTTCCTCACCATCTACAAATGCGAATGCGCCTTCGCGGGATTCTCATTATGGCATCTCGCCGTTCGTAGCCATGGCCGCGGTCTTGTCCGAACAAGGGCGCGAAGTGGCAGTTGGCCCGGCTTCATCGCCGTGTTGCGATCATTGAGTGACTGGACGTGTTCCCAGCGCGTCCGCATTCCGCGCTATAGAGATGGGCTGTGCGCTGCAAGATTGCTCTAGCGTCATCTGGCGCGCGATCTCGTCGAGGCGATGGCGGGTGTCGCGATCGAGCTACACAATGCAGCGTGCTATCGAGCTTGGTGGCGCTGTGGACACGCCGGCTATTATCTCGGCTAAGTGCATTCGATGCTGCGAGCGATTGAGCTGCTTTGATGATGATGACGGCAAAAGAGTTCGAAGAGATCTGACAAGGTTTGAACGGGGTTTGATTGTCCTGTTACATTCCGCTGCGCTCGCGCTTTTCCCTGTTCGTATCGCATGCCCCACCGCCGTTACTGCTCTGCCGCAACGGTGTTATCACATCGCCGCGTTGTATAACCATTATGTACGTATCCTCGCCTGCTCGTACCTGCTCCGTCGCTGAGTGAATGACCGTGCTCGCGCAAACTCATGCCCAGCAAGTGCGACAGATGGATGATCCCGAATCACAAGGATCAGCACTAGAGAGCTAGGGCAATCAAAGGCTGAACTCCGAAACAAAGTCCCCCACATACCATATCCGGGATGCCTGCCTGGCCGACAGCCTTCCGTCATGGCCTTCACGTCGCTGCTGCAGAACACTGTCAGCTGTGCGAACGATGCATGTGGGCAACCAGGCTCTATGTCATCTCTGCGCGCGCGTCTGATGGAACGCCGATAGCAGACGCCAGCCGGACTCCGCGCGTCGCAAGCAGTGCAGACTCGACACGGATGGCGGGTGTTTCAGAGGCGCTGCGTGTGGTCTGCGCGAGCCCGCTATCGCCGTCGCGCGAACATGTAACGTCTCCCCGCGGCGTTCTTGGACAAAGTATTTGCTGGATATTCGATATGTGCGGTCCCGTCTCTGTCCTCCGTTCCTTCGCAGATTCGGAGCGGACGAGAAATCTGATTGATGTGCAGATGGACGTTATGGCGGGCTAGAGCCCCGCATTCACGTCAACATTATGCTCGAAAGCGTCGCCCCGTCGTTCTTCCGGCCATTGTCATTGTCATGTTCGTAAAATTTCAATCGATGGGAACACAGTCAGAAAGTCTGTTTGCGCGACATCTAGACCGCAGTAAAGCCGCGGATGTTTTCGCACAATGCCTGATAGGTATGGAGAATTTCAGCTGGAGTAGATGCAGATGCAGAACGTGTTCTTTCGATTCGGATGCGGACGCATACACATGGGCGCCCAAAATAACCCTAAAGTCCCACGCCACCCGAGCCAAATTGGCACTCAACGCCAGCCACAAGCCCCGAGCGGTGGACTATACTCGCGCTCTCCCGCCCCCGCTGCCAGGGATATGCAGTGACAATGTGTAAGGAGGAACGATACATCTTGTGGGTCCCCGGAGCCCCTCCGCCACATGCTTAAACTCGGCCTCCGGTGCACCGCCTCGGGCCAGCCCGGACGATCGCCCGAGGCCCTCGGTCATGAATAAGGCACAAAGAGAGGGGGTATATTATCGCGGACGGACAAGGAACGGGTAGGGTTCGCTGCTGCCACCGCTGCTGTTGGACAGGTAGGTCAGACCTCAAGCTTTAGGCCCCAGGCCCAGGGACGGAGCATGTCGATGCAACTGTCAACAAACGCGCTGCTACAGTTGCCCCTTGCCTGCTATCCCACCGTCCCGCTACGTATCTGCAGGTTGCTTCTCTTGTGGCTGCAGTCTCCAGGGATTTCCTACCAGCTCTGTCTTCGGTGTGATATCCCATCACGCAGCGTTGGCTATTTTGAGCGCTGTCCTGCGAATCTGATGTTCTGTTGCTCGTCTGGCTGCGCATGTCGGCGGATCGTGAACGGCTCCAGCTGTCCCCCGTCGACTGTCTGCGGTGAGCTGTTGCTTGTTGCTTGTGAGACGACGTCCGACACGTCTGCGGTAAAGGATATGCCTCCCGTAGTCGCTGGTCGTTGGCTGTTTGCATCTAAGAAGCAGGAAAGGTAAGTCGGCCGCCGTGCGTATTCGCCGATCTACCCTCGGACTCCCTCGCTGTCGTAACGTCAGCCAAAGGACAATCACAGCATCATCACCGTTCGTTCCTCGCGTCCGGAAGAAGAGAAGGGACACCGTACATCCCTTCCCCCGCTTGTCTCCCCCGCGCTCTTCCTGCTCCCACGCATGCTACGCCGTCCCACGGATGAGACGGGGCAGTGGAGCGTGCGCCCGGACGAGCGCTGGGCTATCTTCTGGATTGCCAATGCGGCGTCCATCAGGCCTGCTTGTTCGGGCTGCACATCACCTGTACCTGCGGTGTTCGGCGGAAGGGGGAAATGCGCTTCTAGGTGCGCGCTGACCGGCGATGGATGCAGTCGTGGGCTGACCGCAGGGCGATGGCGGCCGGATCCGAGCGGACGATTGTGGGCAAGGGGATAGCGGGCACATCGCAACGATGCTATCGTCGCTCGCGACGCACAACTGCTGAGGCAACGGTCATCAACAGCACATAGAGCGTAGAGACGGGAGAGGGCGTACGTCGTGGTGCTAGAATCCATCTCGCTGGCACGCTTGATCGGTTACGCTGGCGCACCGTATGTCCCAACGCACTCAGCAGACAGCACGATCGTCGCTCCCAAATGCGGGAGAAGCGGGTTGATGATACCTCGACAATTGTAATGTATCATGCCGGGGCGTCTGCGCAGCAGCTTGGCGAGTCTCTGGTGGCGCGCGACCGAGGTCTCTTGACTGCAGTGTGGTCTATGTGGCGTATTCGCATCCAGTGTACCTGTCAGTGTGTCGTTCAAGTCCTGTGCACATGCAGCAAGTTGCGTACCATTCTACGGTGCGCCTTCGCGCTCCGATATTCGTCCGCTCCCATCCCCACAATGTCATAGCGTCGTCGACCTAGACCTGATACATTGCTGTCGCCTGAGTGTCTCGATGTTTGGATGCCATTCAACTAAAATAAGTTGCATGAAGTTCGTAGACTGTGCCAGGTCATGGTTCTGACCCATAGATGGCTGGCAACTCCGAGCGCTTGTGCAATCTGAAGCCGCTTCCGCGAATGGAAGGTTGATCAATCACATGGTGCAATTCGGATCTGGGGAGTTGCCGGCGCTAGAAGACCTCCTGCAGGGATCATCCGTGACTGATATGTCACAGTTACACCTCCGTCACATCTATCACGGTATTGAACTGGCCTGCAGCATATTACCTAGATCTTGCGATCCTGTGTAGCTGGCTGCCATAGTATACAGCTCGCAGAAAAAATGCTCTAATGACCAAGGCCGGGCAGGACATTCAACTTGGGCTTCCGGGAGGCAGGATTGTTTAGCACCCGCCTTGATCTTTTTAGGGGCTGTGACGAAACCCCCGGATATTCGCACGGAGATCCCAATTTATGTGGACGAGTCAAAAAATCACCGACCGTCAAGACCATGTTGAAGAAATCGGGGTCCCATCTGGCAGATCCCTCTCGGCTATACAAATCGCGCCATGGCACTTGCGAAAGGATCAGTAGCAGCAGGAACCACATCAACAGCCAGAACATCCTGATTTCTGAGCGTATGGCATGCGTTTCTGCTAAGGGCGTGAGAGGTAGGTTGTATTTGTCAATCCGGCCAGCACGGCGCTGACACCCTTCACTTGTAAGCACTGTTGCCTAGTTAGCTCACGCCCAGGAATACAGTGCCGTTACTGGAAGACAAGACAGCACCGGGACATGGGGTTCTCGCCGTTATCTCTTGATGATGCTTTGGAATGAACGAATGATTCGGGGTGCGCATCTGTACAGCCTTCGTGATGTGATCCATACCACCGTGGCGCTCGTCTAACAAGAAATCTTCAGCGTACTCCCTTGCGTGTGCTCGCCGCTAATAGCATTCACGCTGGAGAGGGGCTGGGATTCTCTTTTATGCCTGCACGTCCCTACGCACCTGCTAAATCGAGCACCGGCGGGGCTGATCATCTGAGACTCAAGCGCCTAACGGACAACACCCAGCGACTCCCTGATAGGCCTCGAGCAGCCTGGGAGAAGTTAAATCAATAGCTGTTCTACGAAGGACTTCGGCCAGACTTCGAAGAAGACCGAATCTGCCCGAGGTCCAGCGCTGCCCCCGCTCATCATTGGTACATAAGGCCCCCGCTGTCCATCGACCCCTATACGCCATCAATCCTTCCACCAACCCATCGCCGCACCCCACGATGTCCGAGAGCCTTGAGTACGACGTGATCGTTGCCGGAGGTGCGTCCCCCACCGCGCCTCGCGCGACCCTGCTGCGGTAGCCGTAATGACGCTTGATCTGAATCCGCGTAGGCGGTACTGTCGGCTGTGTGATCGCAGGCCGCCTCGCAGCTGCCGATCCCAACCTGAAGATCCTTGTGATCGAGTCGGGCCCGCCGGTGCGCGAGAACCAGGAGCACATCATCCCCGCCAAGTTCCTCAGCCATCTGCTCCCGACGAGCACGACCGTCAAGTTTCACGTCGGGAAGCCGAGCGAGGAGCTCGCGGGCCGCACGCCTATCGTGCCCGCCGGCGCGTGTCTGGGCGGTGGATCCAGCGTCAACTGTACGTGCGCGATTGCTAGTGCCGCAGGGCGCGCAGACTGATCAGGGACAGTTATGATGTACACCCGCGCGTCGGCGTCCGACTACGACGACTGGGAGAAGCTGTACAGCAACCCGGGCTGGGGATCGGCTGATCTCCTGCAGTACCTCAAGAAGGTGCATATTGTGCTTTCTGTGATGGTGGGCTCGCTAAAGACTCTGGGCGCAGGCCGAGACGAACCAAGCCCTGCCGAACAAGCCGACGCACGGCTACGAGGGTCCGCTCAAGGTCTCCTTTGGCGGTATCTACGCCGACGCGGGGAAGCAGTTCCTTGAGATCGCAGAGCAGTTTGACAAGGATCGGCCTGTGGTCGACGACATGAATGACCTATCGAACTCTAACGCCTACGCTGTGAGTTGAACTACAATACTGAAAGACTGCTATTGTAATACTGACATACACTCCAGAGATGGGCAAAGTCAGTGATCCAGCGCTGAGCACATGTGCCGTGCGTGTGGGCTAACCGGCTTGCAGGTGGATCGACTGCAAGACTGGCCGCCGCCAGGACGTCCCTCATAACTACATCTACAACCAAATCGATACTACCGGCCTGGACGTCAGGACGGGCTACACGGTCAAGCGCATCCTCTTCGAGTACGTCTCTTCACTTCACCACGATCCTGGTTCCCTGACGCGCTCGACTATGTTGTGTGTCCCAGCGGCACGCGCGCGACAGGCGTCGAATTCGTCCCCAACGCGCGCTACAATCCCGACGAGGACAAGACACCGCGCATCGCGAAGGCACGCAAGCTCGTCGTGCTCTCCGCAGGCACATTCGGTACTCCGTCGGTCCTCGAGCGCTCGGGTGTCGGTGCGGAGAAGCGCCTGAGCGCGCTAGGCGTCAAGACGGTGTCAGACCTCCCGGGCGTGGGCGAGAACTACCAGGGTGCGTAGGCGGGCGACCACACTGCGCGGAGCAGGCTGCTGATGCAGTAGGTTGCAGACCACCCCATCGTGTTCTCACAGTACTTCGTCGACGACAACGCGGATACGCTCGATGGGCTCATCCAGGGGCGACCGGAGGAGCTGCAGAGTGAGTAGTTGTCGTGCATCGCCGTGAGTTGTAGACTGAAGCTTCGCAGAATGGGGCGCACAGTATATGACCGATGGCACCGGTCTGCTCGCGCACAAGTTAGTGTGTCAAAGCTTTCTTGAAGACGCCTTACTAATTCTGTTTTCCAGTGCTGTCGAGGCTGGCGGAAAGCTGCGGCCATCCCCGCAGGATCTGGATGCCTTTGGCCCCGACTTCCGCAAGCGATGGGACGAATTCTACGCCAAGTACCCTGACAAACCCGTTCTCTTCATCGCTTGCTCGGCAGGGTAAGTTTTGTGTGGTCGTTTTTGAATGATCCCCGTCGTGTCTCACAGTCGCGCTCACACAGCTTCGTTGGTAATCCCATGGGCGTTCCTCCCCGACGATACTCCACAATCGCATATGCCATCTGGTACTCGAGCGCTGTCGGCTACCTTCACATAACTGATGCGAATGATGTCGACGCGCCGCTCGACTTCGACCCCATCACAATCAACGGGTACGTGCGCGCTCGTATGAGTACCTTCCAGTTGCTGACGGCCCTTCAGAAAAGAGGATATTGCAGCGATGCGCTGGGCGTACAAGCACGGGCGCGAGCTCGCACGGCGGATGGGGCTGCATCGCGGCGAGTTTGATGGTGGCCATCCCGCTTACCCCGAGGGCAGCGCGGCGGCTGTGCGTCCGTCAGCAGAGCCGACGCCGCTTGATACGCCGAAGCTTGTGTACACGGCGGAGGATGATGCGGCGATCGACCTGTTCAACCGGCAGCAGGTCGGCACGATGTGGCATTCGGTTCGTGTTATTCTTGCGGGAGTACCGCATAGCTGACGATTCCGCTCATGGTAGCTGGGAACGTGTGCGATGAAGCCGCGCGCCCAGGGCGGCGTGGTCGACTCAAAGCTTAACGTATACGGCGTGACTGGGCTCAAAGTAGCTGGTGCGTCGCCGCCCTTACCCCGTTTAATAATAGAAGTTCAAATAGTGCTCTCGTAGATATGTCAATTGCCCCGTCAAACGTCGGCGCTGTGAGTCTGAACGTGTTGTGATACCGGTGTACATCGCTGACTGTCATGCGTAGAACACTTACTCGACGGCCCTCACTATCGGGGAGAAAGCGGCAGCCATTATTGGTGAAGAACTTGGCCTCACCATTTGAACGTAACACCCAGTGTTCAGTCTCAAGCGGCTATTACTTAGTAGGGCAGGCCATGGATGTTATTTATTGCGGCGTCCCTCACGAGTTAGCGTCAATAACTCTTCTACTCGGGGTGCACGCCTGTAAACCAAAAACTAACTGTACTATGCTTTCGCGTCGCAGTGGCCATAGTGCCTGTTTGTAGGATTTGATGTATAAATGAAAGCGATACCCATCATGACGTTGCATTTAACTTCGAGTTTGGTCGTTGAAGGAGGTTCGTTGTAGCAGTTTGACGGCACGCTTGTGGCACTGCTTTAGCACACGTGGCACACGTTGATCACAATCAACTACCTCAGCTACTCTCAGCGGAAAAGCCACACTATCAAACATGCGCGCAATGTCTCTTCGTCGTCAATCCAGCTACATTTTCTGTTTTACTTAGTTACGGAGGCTCCAAAGGAGGGCACCTGGATTAGTCATCTACTTAGGCAGTATGAAGGCCGCGTTCGTTGCGCAGCTGACGCCGGTCGAGCTTCTATGCGCCGAGGTTTACGTCTAAAGCCTCGAGGCACTGAGTGTCGTTTCTGGTACTCCCATTCTGCACGTACTACGTCTACCAGAGTTGAGGAACGTGCAATTTCAGTCTGGTCATAAGCACCGGCTATTTCTCTTTTCTCTCGGCCCATGCAAGATGGCCGATTCTTCTGTCCACATCAGCCGTGGGCGCAGGCAGTATCTAGCCGATCTTCAATTGCTGCAGGCCGCCGCTGTTCTAAACGAACTGACAATCAATGAGGTGACAGTGGTCGGTATGTGCGCCGTGGCAGCCCGCGGTCTGTTGGCTAAATTAGCGGCGTGGCGGTGCGGATTTGCCAGATCTATCAGTGGGAGCAGAAGACTCATTTTCATGCCGGATTTGCGATACTGCTGGGAATGATGTCTCAATCTTGGATTTCCTGATTTCTGGTGGGTTGTTCTAGCCTATTAACATGCTGCGTCGACATGAAGTATCGCCTTAGATCCTTCTGAATATCCCAGCAACCATGTGTTTTTCTGCGCCGTGCAGAGCTCGCGGGACGAAAAGACGTCTTCACTATTATCACCAATTGCTCGAGCGGTCACTGAAAATGGCCCTGTGTCAATTGAGCAACTGCTGAGGGGAACCCTCGCTGCTGTCGCGCGATCAATTACCGCCGTCTCAATTCCCCAAGATGTTGGCCTGGAGCGCAGTGCCGAGGGAGACTTCGACGAATACGATGACAATCTGACTGAGTTCAACGATCCTACAATCACTCCCGGGGAGGTCATAGACCATCACACTCTGCATAGGTAATTATCTCTTCATCTGAGCTGTCCTTTAAGCTGACTGGGAACGTGAGCAGCGACTTCACTGAGATTGTTGCCTATGGGTACAGACCAGGCTTTGTGCCGATTGACATCGACGAGTATGTGTTGTCGGTCTCATGTCCGACGATAAAGCTCGCCGATGACATTCCGACACGAGCGCTCATGGCCTGGGACCGGCGGCTGTTGGCGCCGTCACAGCACCTGACCCTTCTGGTGCACGGCCTGAATGGCGTGTATCCCATACTTGAAGGAGACGGCGCTCTTTGTCCCCATGCAGTGGAGCGTGGCAGCAATCCCCAGTTCAAGGTGGGCCTCACGTCAAGCTATAAGCCCCAGAGGGAGCATGTGGTCGAAACCATTCGCGTCTCCGGAAGGTGGGACAAAGGCACACCCCAGGAAAATGTTAACGAGGAGCAGGCACAAGAGACTGATAACATGACAGAGAGAAGAGAGCGTGTAGGATTTGACCACTTCAATCTGAGTTCACCCATGGAGACATTACTGAATCTTCATTTTATGCGCTTGCTGAAGCTGAGGCTGAAGTATGATTTAGGATGGGCCGGTGTGGAGGTTCTTCTTTGGGAGGCAGATAGAACCCAACAGAAAGCGGAGGATATCATGAAGAGCATGAGACCGGTTAGTCGGGCGGTGCACATACCGCTATTTCTGATCACAGCTGCCATCACAGGCAATCCAGAAGGCCGAGGATCAAGAGAACGAACTTTCTAGCCGCTATAACCTGCCTCCAGACCCTCTCCTTTCTCGTGGCTCGCTAGATTGCATTAATCTGCCTCTTCTTGCATTCTCGTACCTGCTGCGTCGTCTCACGGTATGTTTACTCGTCAGTTCCACGGTGTAATTCTCATTCTCCTGCAGCTCTGTCCTCGTTACTGCCTTGTATGCCACGACCGGCTTCAAACAGACTATGTCGCGTTGAAGCCTTATGTTTGTAACTCCCCGCTCTGCACATATCAGTACTATCATCTGAATTGGGGCCCTTCGCTCGAGGTCCGTCGCTACGTGGCTCCATCAAATAATCACATGGCTGAGAACTGAGGACTGACGCTCAACAGTACGAGATTTGCTCGAATCCTGATACTGTCGATGTTTTGGTTTCGCTTGCGTACATAGCAGCCAGCGCCGAGGCGTTGAAAGAACCTTTACCTATTGGGATTGGTCTCCGTGTCCCAGCGCCGGATAAAACGGCTCTGGTGAACGCAGATGGATTGTGCGAATACGACAAGCTGACATACAAGCAGGTAAATCGATTAGAACATGTCAAAATCTAGCCTGTGGGCTCTGATGTACGACGAATCTTCCTAGATGTGTGCATCAATTGTGATGCTCATTGATCAGCTTCCTCCTGTAAGTCGCTGTAGTTTCGCTCGGACTACAAGGTTTACATGATCTTCGCCTCTCCCAGGTCGAACTCTTGAAGGTGTACCTCGAGAATCCGATCAATATTGGAAATACTAGGGCCCGATTGCGGGACTTCGATCATTCGATCCCAGAGGCGACTTGGTCAATATTACGATGGTATGATCGCGATCACAAGCACCTGCCGGCGCTGGCGCTGAGCTCCGAGCACATATATCAGGTGTATCGCGTCGTGCACTGCTCACATGGAGGAAATGAAAACCGAGGAGGAGCGAATCCGGAATATAGGTCAGAATCTCTGCTTCATCTCACTCGCGGGACTAAACTACAGTGCAGGTGCTGAATGGAGGCAGTTCCGGTTCACTATAGGTGCTCCTGACGCGGAAGCCAAGTTCCAGAAAGCACTAGAATTGGCGCAAGCTCAAGATGAGAATGTGCTATCATTTCCTTGCCTATATGTAAGCTCCTGTTTGTGCGGGCAACGATGTTTTCTCATCTGTAAATAAGGCTTTTCACGGCTCTCCTGCACACAATTGGCACTCGGTAAGACCTCCCAATAGCATCAGCCTTTCCGGACTCATTTTTACCAGATCATCCGCCATGGTCTATGGTACAAAGACGTAGCTAATGGAAGACTGTATGGCGACGGTAAAATGTGTCCTTGCTGGCAAAATCACGAGCTAAGCGCGCGTCAGGCGTATATTTTGCCAAAGAGGCGTCTATATCGGTGAAAAGATATGCTCAGCAAAACACCGTGCAGTGGAAAAATAGCTCCATTGGCGTATCGCAATGCATCACTGTCGCACAGATCGTGAATCGCCCTCAAAGCTTCGTCTACAATCGTCGGTACTTTGTGGTCGACGACACTAGATGGATTCTATGGTGCGTCAACTACTTGATCATTCGCCCTCAGGTCGCTAGACTAGTTGTAGTCGTTATCTTCTTGTGAAAGGCTCCTCTGCAGATACAGCCCAAAGCACACTTGTTCAAGGCTCAGCAGACACCCGCGACATTCCATTTATACGGCATGACCCCAAATCAAGCTTCACGTTCTTCGGCAAGCAAATCCAAGTCCCTGAACCAAGCTATACGGTCGAAAAGTTACTCTCCGACCGCCGGAGAGAGCCTCTGGACGTCCAATATGACGAGGAAGACTTGTCCATCCTGGAGGGCCGTTCGCCGGTCAAGCAGACGCAGCCAGTAGATGACTGGACTCATGATCCAGAATGGGTCCGGACATCTGTCAAGAATGTTCTTCCGCTGCCCGGAAGCGCAACTCGCAAGGCAAAGGCGGCGCTTCAGCGGGCGTTCAAAACTATGCTGAGAGAGCAGCAGGAGGCGAAATCCATGAAAGAACTCGGATGGTATATACCTCCCGACATGATCAGTGGAAATCAATTACGTTGGATCGTGGAGCTGCATTCATTTGACGAGGATCTACCTATCGCACAAATCATGAAGATGGAGTGCGCCACTCTGTGTCGTGCTTAGGAGTCTAGACACTAATGATTCGAATTTTACAGATCCATGAATTCTCTGGTAGTTGAAATCACGTTTCCGCGGTCGTTCCCAGCGTCGCCGCCTTTCTTTCGCGTCTTGAAGCCCCGATTCCTCCCATTTACACGAGTGAGTGGCATAGGCGAAAATGTGTCACAAAAATGAATGCAACACCAGGACGGAGAAGATGGACATACAGCACACATTACAGCAGGTACGTGATTACACGACTTACACACCAAGTACTACAACCTTCCGACAGGCGGATCAGTGTGTATGGAACTCCTCACGGGGGATGGTCAGTCGATATATGATAGCTATGTGTCAAGTATTTTTGACAATATAGCGATTAGGGTGGCGACCTAGTTATAGGCAAGTAAAGCCATCGATAGCCCTCCAGTATAACGATGTTACATTCATCTAGTATATCTGCCATCCTCCGGCAAATTCGGCTCGTCGTCTCCAGCCTGAGGTCTCACCCCAATCGGTTGGCTAAAAACTGGTCCGTGTACGTTCGAGTCGCCAAAAACAGCTGCGTCAGGTTAGCTTTTGTTAACCTCTGTGTATAGTAGGCCGTATAATATGCCTAAGGCGCTCAGAGGCTATAAGAAGGTCGCATCAATGTATGGTTGGAAGGTAAGCAATCTTGAGGTTCACTAGGCTGTCTGATGATCATCGCAAACAGGTTCCTTCGCACGTGGACAGGCTCCTCGGATGTTGAGGTCGGGACTCAGATATCCGAAATGGTCGCAGCACTGAGTCGGATGATAGTTTACTGCGACCCCTTGTTGTCGAAATCCCTTTTTCAGGCTGCACCCGTGAAATTTGTTCGATTATTGCTGCATATACTGTGATGGGCATTGTCAGTCATGGGAGCCACAGAAAGCACCTCCATTTGGCGCAGATAACCGAGGACTCCGCGTATTCCATGTGACGCTCCCAGCAGCTAAAGACCACCTATCAATGGCTCTTGAACAAAGCGTGGCAAGTCCTTGAGCTCGCTGTAGTCCGTTATTAGCTGTTCTCCCTCCTCTCGTTTGAATCGTCGAGTTTTATCCCGCACGATTTGAATTGTAAGCGGACATATAGGCCTCCCTTCTGCTGTGGAGGATCCATATTCGACTGCCGAAGTTTGAGGTGTCCAACCACTCGCGACGCGAAATGCAAGGACGAGGTCTGCGCGGATCACCACCTTGTTTAAGGTATATTGAAAAATGAGGATAGTATTCAATCTACGTGTACTAGTTTGACAATCTTTGCGGATGAATGAGTAGTCCACGAACACGTCGGAATTCCTCCTGTATTATCATTAGTGTTGGTGAATTGCAGAACAATGACAATGTGTCGACGTCGAGTATGTCTGCGATCTGTTGTTCGTATAGTATATCTCAAGCGAATAGAACCAACAAAAGGTACAGTTCTAAAGACCGTGCTAACCATGTATAATATTGGAAATGAATTTTGATGTCTCCCCCGCGATTCCCAAACAATTCTGCATGTCTTTACATGAGCACATCATCGGCCAGTTTGTAGATCAGTCCCCGACTGCTTAGGGGCAATAGGAATGACGGCCAGCGGAATGTCGTCTTCATCCGTTTCGCATGTTGAAATCCCGTGCTCAATAGGTGCGCCTAGTGGTCCGACGATCCGAGAAGAGAACTGAATGGTAGATGTCGCTGGGCTATCGTATGTGCTGTCTCGGGACGAATTGACTTGTCGAAGGTTGAGGAATAGGCGGGAGGTTAGGATAGTGATCAGCCTAATAAATCATGAGGAATGAATTAGTTGGAGATAGTCCAGTAAGATATTGGTTGTATACAAACACATCGACAATCAGGCTAGTGTAACTGAAAATGTTCTTGAACTCTAGAACCACGTCCGTGATATTGAGCAGTAACACAGCACTAATGGATATCTTAGCGATAATAGGGGCTGCAGAATACAATATACATACCTGAAGACCAGAGTGCCTATACATTTCCGTCTTCAGTGTTCATGCCAGTTTGTCGTCGAGCGCAGGACGCACCATCTCGTAGTAGTAAATCAACCGTCGACACCTCCATACTAGCCAATCTAGCAATCTTCTTTGTTCCGTAAGTAGCATGCCACGTTCCCAGTAATACGAGCACATCCGAAGCGATGATGCACGATCTGGAAAACGCTGCCACTGTAATAGTACTTTGTCAGGTGTCGCCGCCTTGTGAGGTGTAGTGGGGCTACACACATCTAGCGCTGGATGTAAGACCATGTTACTAATCGGTGTGTCGCAAAACACTCGCCTGAATGGCAATATGAACGGAATCTTGTAGTAGACCGTACATCCAACAGGCGGGGGTGCAATCGAGTAAGCAAACTCTGTGCAGATCCATTGGGGAAATGAGGTCAAGAGGCATACTGACATCCTTCAGCGATAGTGCTTACGATATTTATACTTATGTTTGGTAGGTATAATAACAAGATCAAAGATGGCAAAACAATCCGACGACCACTGATAGCATAAACACGCAGAGCAGAGATTGCTGTACAGATGTCATTCACGAGGACTGTGTCACCAAGCAAAGCATACCCACTTCCGTAGATCAGGTAAAGTAGAGCTTCAGCACAAGCAAGGAGTATGTTTGACACATAAGCGCTGACATTGTTCGCATGAGTACTGGGATTACATTATCGACCGGATGATGGAGGTTACACACACACCCCTAGCTCCATGAGTTGCTCAGTACTAAGACAATTGTGAGCTCATAAGTACTCACACTGCAGCTTGTGACGAACAAGGCCGAAAGGTATGTGGTCACAATGCATGACGTGACCAGTTGAAGAGCGATGTACAGGGATGTTGCACCTGTTAATTTTCGCCGCCACACAGCCTGGGTGGCATCATCCAGGGTGATTATGTTCTCGTAGGCATACAAAGCTGTGAATGCTTTTATGAGCGCAAATCATACGAGCATTGATGCAGCGTGACTGGCCGAATACAGAGGTAATGCAGCAAAACTCTACATAGCTAATGTTCAGTCAGCAGTGCAGCTGAGGATGAACATCCACGAAAAGATGTACTGACGCTTGCCGGAGAACTTCGACTTGCTCTGCCGCCGCTGACGGACTGCTGGAAGACATAATACCGTCTCTTCTGCCAATATGGGTGAGGGCGGTATACACTTCCTTCAGCAAGCTGTTCAATCGAGGTGGGAGCTGCTTCTGCGAGTTACTCCCTGTGGTCTACGTTACTTGGTTAGTGGGGTGCGAGGGCTACAAGATGGATGTACTCACAAGTGTTGGAAAGGACTCAGTAGTGGTGATGCAGTGACTACCGTACCTAATCTGTATCGCGTAAGTTCTACAGGACTACGGCGAGTCAATTTAGATTCAGGGGAAAGGAACAAAAGCAGGCGTACCTCAGTCGTGGTGATACAAAGACTGAGGAGAGAATGGGGGAGCGGAGGAGCGAGATATAAGTAGATGAGAAGAGGATCACGTGTAGGTGAGCGTAGAGGGAGCTGACGGGACGTGAAAGGAGCTAAGATAACGTGGGGAGCGCGAGCGGGGCATGGAGAGTGCAATTGAGTAAAACGTAGTAGAGAGCGCGAGTAACAGCCGCGGACGTCGAGCGTCCCGATCGCGGATGTCAGAATCCGATGATAAGGGGTAGTGTTATTGAAATTAGAGGACCGGACATTCACGATAGAAGACGCAGCGCTGCTGTTCAACAGAGTAAGCTCTCAGATCCCCGCCGCCGATCAGAGAATCTGTCTACGGGAGTTTGTCAGGCCAGATTATAACGTAAAGGCAATTCAAAGATAAACTTCGAAACACTGCATCTCCAAACATAAAAGCTTCGAAACACTGCATGTAATGATCAATCTTTTGTACCAAAAGATTGAACCAAGAGTGAAAGAAGAGTGAATTTGCCTGATTAGTATTCTAGTGCCTAATATGGAAGAAAGATCCTAGTAATTTGATTATGTAATCAATCTCTTCATTGTTTCTATCAATCCTTCGGCAGTTTTCATTTAATATTTTCCTTACTAAACCAATACGGGCTATTCAACTTTTAATTCATTCCAAATTGATTCTTTTGGACACAATGATTGATCCTTGAAAGGGACTCGAGAGTTCTGTCGCGGTGCCCCACTTTGATCATGAGTCGAATAAGCTGCTGAACCGCATTCTGCATACAGGCGACACATATGACGCCGATGCTATCACCGCCAACGCCTGAGCAGCACGAGGACATGAGGATATGTGATGTGATGCCTCCATTGACAAGTATACGTGGTTATGAGGTGTTGCTTCATATTTTTTTCCAAAGCATAAAAAAGGCATTTGTGGTGGTGTCCTGTCTGATGAAGGGAAAGGACAAGACTTCATTCGAAGCCGCGGTGACTGACCGTGTCAGTACCAATATTAAAAATAGTATTGGCGGCTGTTGACCATATTGGAGGCAACATAGCAGCGGGCGCGGAGACTGACATTGCATAAAAAGTGGGCCAAGTTTGCTGATTGAGGTACTGATTTAGGTGCTGAGTGCGGATCCGTGACAGTCGTATCAGGAGAAGTACCGAGAAGACCTCTCAATCATCCCAAAGAGAAGGCATGTGTGAAGACAATTGAAATAAGTGCGGAACAGATCGTAACTACTTGAAAAGTAACACTTCTGGGCTCGAGGAACAACACTGAACCGTCTTATCTCTGCCGCTTGCGGAACAATATCTGAGCGGACCTTTCATCCTGTGCCAACTCTCCTTCTTTCTCCATCTTCATATCATAATTCATCACAAGATGTGCGAACATTGCCTTGACCTCATATGAGGCAAAGAATCTTCCAGGGCTAGATGTTTGTTGGCGAGATTTTGTTGCAAATAGGCTTGCTCAGTCAAGGAATGCCAGCGTAACGGGGTATGAACCTTACTGACCAAGCATGCTTCCCGTGCCCGAACGGAAGCCAGTTAATGCCCGTATTCACCATGCTCAGTTGCTCGCCTGTACCATTGTCGGGGTCGTGCATGTCGGCAAAACGGAAAGGTCGGAACGTCTGAGCGTCAGGGTAGATGTCGTCGTCTTTATAAATGCCCTCCATCGCCACCGAGACAATTGTACCCTTCGGAATGAACGTCCCATCGGAGAACGTAAAATTCTGGACGGCTTTGCGCATCATAGACGCTGTGAGAGCGGAATATCAGAAGGTTATGGGCAGCGATGGTGGAGTATATTCACCGGAAGACATTCCCTTGACCCGCTGTGTCTCCTTGATGAAACTATCGACCTTGTACAACTTGTCCATGGCCTCTTTTGTCCACCCATTATCACGCACAACAGCCTCAACCTCTTCTCGCAGAGGCTGGATATACTCAGGATAGGCAGCGAGATAACATAATGCCTGGCTAGAAGTCTGTGATTGACGTTGGACAGGGACTTTCCGTAAGGCTAGTGTGCAGAGCAGCATGTGAGAACATACCATTGTAGTTGTATGGATGGCGGCCATGTTAATCGTGAGAATTCGCGCTACCAGAGCACGGGGAGTACGGTGCTTCTCTCCGGGGGCTGCATCTATGAGCCATTGCATGAGATCGTTCTGGACGTGTATGGATCAGTCAGCTCAGCAGACTGTTTAGCAAGTTTTGCTCACATGCTTATCCGGCCAGCTTCCATTCTCTCTTTCCGTCAGACGTTCAGCGATGACACCGCCCAGATGCTCAAATGCTTCAGCAGTGCTCCTCTGAACATTACTGGTGAACATCCCCACAAACCTGTAATGGGAATTCATAACTGTTGAGATCCAGCGGCTTCTAGGGAAAGACACTCACGGTCTAAGGATCGAGGGGAATTTGTTGATGAACGACGCTATCTGGAAGACCTCGATTGTGAAACGCTTGTTGAGCGCCAGGTATGCCGGATCTCTACCTGTGTTGGCGCGAGAACGTATACATTAGAAAGGGATTGGCTCGCGTATTCAAATGCCTCAAATAACGTATCAAGTCGACAGTGACTCACCGAGCGGTAACCCGACAAAGACTCTGTTACTAGTTCTGCACACTATCTGCATGATAGCTTGTATCAAGAAGACTTTTGTCCATTCTGTGGTGCAATTTCTCACTCCATCAGTGTTCACGTGGTCAACTCACGCATTCAACGCACTATCACGAGCAGGGATTTCATCAGCGAACGCGGCAACCAGTTCGTCGTGCATGTCAGGGAAGAGGACACCCAAGTTGCGAGTAAGCGGGGAGCGGACAACGGATTTGTGGTAACCGTTTTCAAAGACCTCGCGCCCGATGGTGTACTTCGTCTGTAAACTCTAACTCATCGAATGAGAGAGCAATTCAATGGGACTCTGAATGAAAACCTCACCTGTGCGGTTGCTTCATTGAAGGAGAGGACGTTCTCTGGTGCTCTAATGATTTCGGCGATGAGCCTTGGATCCGAGACGACGATATGCCACTGGTGACGCTCAGCAAACTTGAAGATCCCATTTTTGTACTGTGGGCGACATAGTTCAGGGGCTTTAATATGACACCCGCGGTATGAGCACACACCTTTCTGCAACCCTCCCGAATGATATCCTTGTGATCTCGACGAGATCCAAGAACGGAGAAAGAGGACAATAGAGGGACAAACGGCCGTCCTACCGTTGGGATGTGATATAGCTGCAGTAAGGATCAGCTAAGGTGGATAACAATCTGGTAGCCGCAAGCATGGACCTTGAGGGTACTGCGCACAAGGTAAACAACGATATAACAGATGCCGAGTGGCAGGATCACATGAGAATATAGGAGGAATACATCCATGTTCAGCAGTCGACTACTTTTCGAATGAGTAGATGATATGGCAAGTGGGGCGGGGCAAGATATGATGGGTGATGGGGCGCTGAAATAGAGAGCCGCGTGCTCACTGCCGTACTTAAGGTATCTCAGAAATATGACCGCAGCATATGAGAGCCGCAGCATATGAAAGCCGCAGTAACACTGACAGTGTACACTGAAAGAAATGAGTAATGTCAAAGAATGCCGTGCACAATGCCGCCCGCCGGCGGCCGGGGATCGCTCCAAATTGTATATTGCATAGCTCCACTGCCTCATGTGTGTAACAATGTACAATAGCATTCAGAAGATGTCTGAGCACCACTATTCGCGAAACCTGCATATGTGTTCTTATGGCGAGCCACAAAACAGTTGGATCGACTGGGCAGCACGCTGGATGAGCTCACCAAGTATATCGTGGTTGAGCATGTTTCCAACTCACAGTCGTTGAAGAAATGTAGAAGAGAATACGTCCAGCCTGAATCCTAAGCGGGTGCAATCGCTCAAGCGCACATCGTTCACACCGGTCACCGGTCAAGTTCATGACTCACCGACCGCTGCAATAGGTATATTGAAAATTGCCGCTCAAATGTCGCTGAAAAAGAAGCGAGTGTCAAGCGGCCAAAACCAGCGAGCAGAATCCCCTCCTCGAACAAATAAGCGACCGCTCGTCGCAAGCGCTCGCAGATTCTGGCTCATGACATGTCACGGCTGCAGAATTCGCCAGCCTGATTGGCTGGCCAACCCTTCGCGAGCCGAGAACGTAATCATGTCACGGCCGCATCACGCCTAGTCACAAGCGATCGTTTCTGTCATCTTCAGCCACAATTGGGTGCTCAAAAGCAGCGGAAAGTCGCTTGTTTTCCAGCGACTTAAGCGGCAATTTCGAATGCATCTGAAGTCTAAGAGCAATTATATTGCAAGCGCCCGGCATAGTCCTGCAGCATACCAAAGTATCATATAAGTTGTCTACATTCACTCATGTGTAGCGCTCGAACCCCAACATTATCCGACTATCCTATACGTGTCGACATGTCTATTCCTGAGTAAGATCAGTCGTGCTGCCCGGGGTGCGTGCGTAACATCGTTCTTGATCGTAGGTATCCCCCAATGAAAAGGAGCAGACTTTGCAGGAATACGACATCATGCTTCCACTGCGCAAGTACCACCACGCTAGGCTAAATATTGATAAATTCATTAAGAAAACTAAATTACTGAAACACATGTAGCTATTAGCCGTTCAAAACCTGAAAAGGAGCGGAAAGCGGAGCGAGACAAAGCGCTCAGGCCAAGGCGAGTGCCAGTGTGATCAAGGTCAGCACCTCAATGGGCACCGCGCGGAATGTGTCCAACGTAATATTGACAGTTGGAGCAGGGTCCCAGAATGTCAGCAGGGAAGGGATCAGTGACGACCCGTACTGCGGCCAGTGGACATCAGAGAGGTAACTGATGTTCTGCGGAAGTCCGGAAGGAGCATTTGGGTTAAGGCTGTGTGCAAAGTTGACTGCATGCACATGTCAGCGCTCAGTGCGAGAAACAAACACTGCGAGGGTCATACGCACTCAGGGCATCCATCCCAATGTAGTCAATGTCCGTGAAGAACTCCGCAATGTCAGAAGCGTGGTATGTGCCGATTACTGGTTCCGACTTGCCCCGCTTATACACTAACAGTGATGAGTAAACGCGTGCAAAAAGGAGACTCTTTGAGAAGACGTACGGTACGACCAGGTAGGCTGCGTGGCAGATGCAATTGACATGAAGAATCTGCGTGGTACCTGGAACTGCAGGTCACCCTGGAATGATGCAAGACGCTTATACTGGGCTCTACAAACAAATCCCTTAACATAGTTCGAATCAGAGATGGAACACAACTCACGAGATATTCCACATATCTCCGGTACCAAATGGCGACCCCTGCAATGGACTTAGTATGAGTATTTGTTGAGAAATTAGAGGATGACATACTAGTGCAGGGTTTGCGGGATAGACATCAGCAAGCACTGCGATTTGTTCATCCGAAGCCGTAGGAAGATAGCTAGAGCCGGGTCAGCAGAAACTATTATAATGATTACGAAAACCAACTTCGTGTGGATGTAATTGGCAAACTCTTCATCAGTTCTACAAGTGTAAGTCAGCGACCACCGGTTAGCAAGTCACTAGAAGACATACGTAATATTGAGGTTCGCAAGTGAGAAGATGGTGCCTTCATCATCGCAGTCTCCGTTCACGAATGGTGCCTAATCGTTAACATTAGGATGCATCAACGACGCAGAGTTGACAGACGCACTTGCCTTTGAATACAAACCCATCTGCAGTGACTCGACAGGGTTACGTGCGATTACATTACCGTCTACACGCGGAAACCACGCCAGATTCAAGCTGGTGTAGTTGATGTAGCTGGGAGTAGAGTTCGCCGCCGCCATCAATTGATCGATCGGCGCCTGACGGAGGCACTCAAAGGTGTCCGAGTTTCCGCCACAAGCCGTGTATTCGACGAGGTGATCATACCATTGCTGTCCGTCCTCCACTGTTTTCAGTGTGTATGGGCTGCCCGACTCCTGTGCTAGATGTTAGACAACCCGCTTGAAGGGCTGCAATCGAAACCATACCATGAAACCGCCACGGAAAAGGTCGGTGGTGCCGTTGTTGATCAGGTAGTGCAGACCAATAGACTCTGCGCCCGCGCTCTCTCCCCAGCTTGGAAAGTAATGTCAGCGCGACAACGCCAGCAGTCGAAAGGACAAACACGTACATTATCACCTTCGACGGGTCCCCACCGAAGTCCGAAATGTATTCATGGACCCACTCCATTGCGAGTCGTTCTGAAGTTTGATGGTTGACGGAAACTGGAATTCACTAATTCAAAGACTTACGGTCTCTCAACCCGAGGTTGGTCGCATTGGCAGCAAGGGCCTCTTTGCCAGCGAGGAAACCGAGTGCTGACAAGGAATCAGGAATTCTGCAGTGTAGTGGAAGATTCTTGCATACCATGAAGACGATAGTTGGCAGAAACAAAAATAACAGGCTCTCCGAGAACAATGGACCGCTCTACAATTGGCGCGCCTGGAAAACTAGAAGAATCACCCGTCTCGAATGCGCCTGGAAATGTTAGTGAGCAAGCACCCTCTCCACAATGAAACGATGACCTGTACCTCCGAAGAACCACTGTTTGCGCAGATGTTACTTTGATTTCTCAGTCCATGACGAAACCGTCACATACCAGCAGCACCGGGAGCCCGCCCTTCGAGTCGGCGGTCGCAGGTTTCACGACATTGATGAAGAGACCTATGCACTACTGTCAATGCATTGCTATCAACCGATCAGTGAACACAATACGTACAATCTTCCGAAGAGTTCACAATGCCTGGAGCTCCTGGTATCGGGTGGATGATAGAGGGCAGCTTGAAAGGAAGAGCACCAGTGTCGGCAGCAGTTGTCTGTTGCAGACAGGCAGCTCCGTACTGGGTTGCTTGGCGCACACCCTCGAATGGAGTGGGGGGCTGCGGTGGCGCAAAGCGCAAATTCCCTGTTCTGAAATGACATCTGCCATTGAGCATGTCGTAAGTGGGTAGGCAGGCACATTGCGTACGGTGCTGCAGCGAAGGGCACCCCTAAGAACTCCGAAACATTCCCTGTGTTCTGGCCCTGGAACGAACCATACGACAGCTTAACAGCCGGGGCTGCATCTCGATCCACAGGAGAAGCAAATGTGAAGCCCGTCAGTGCTGCGACTGACGAGACAAAGAACAAGAAATTTATCATGGAAATAAGAAGCTCTGAGAAGTCGAAGAGAGCCTCGATCAGGCGGTAAGATACAAAGTGAAGGAATGAGTTGTGCACGCCTCCCCGCGCCCGTGCTCTTATAGTGCCGCCGTCGTGATAACTTGTACACCGAGTTCACCATACGCGGCAGTCTCACACTCGAGGTAAGCAGTAAACCCCACTTCGCGGCCGGCATCGGCATCGGGCGGCTACTTTTCGCGATCGACATCGCTTATGTATTGAGCGCCCGTAGTGTATGGCACTGGCAGTGTCAACGGTGGCCGGCAGTGGTGACATACGCATAATAGGCCTCGGAGGCACATCACGACTGGCTTGGAGCGATAGTCCAATTCATATTCCTCCGCGCAAGACGTCAAGAAAACAAGGGGCATTACAATCCCCAGGAACCTGGAGGACATGTGGGAGGATCCATCAAATTTTTAGAATCACTCCGAAACATCGGACTTAGTACTGTTCGAAACCAACATGGAGGAAACGAGCTCAGCTGTGAGATTATCCGCTGGCATGACACAGCTCAGTAACCTGTGCTGGCCCCCGGGCCGCAGAGCACTCGCGTAAAATGAGACCACAGGCGAGCATTGCTGTGCAATGTCGCTGCGAGGCACAACAAAGCCATATGGCATAGACTGAGTGATCGCGCAGTTTCGACATTGCCTCAAGATCTTGAAACAACCGAGCTTCCTCAGAAGGTAAGTAGATCATGTGTAAGCTGACATCTCACACAAATAATGAGCGATGCTTGGATGCTATACAGTAGCAACCCAGAGGTTTGGATTTTTGGCCACGGCCTCATTTCCTGATGTGCTTGTTGACGTCCAAGCCTTGGCGCGAGGCGTCCCGGAGTCCGCGTCAGGTACGCTGACGCGCTGACGCTCAGTCATACGAGACGGTTGGCGGTGATGCGCTGATGGCGCGATACGGGCGTGTTGGCGGAGTCTGGATTCTTTTCTACTGTACAGTTCAGGTCCCCCGTTAGGTAGTATGCTCGTTTACACGGCCAGCCGTTCGGATGAACTCAGTTTGACCGCCGCCAGGTTGAACCCAGCTCAAAGTGCTTTGCACCCCGTTTGAAAAGGGCCACCTTAACCCCAGTGCAACCAGCCTCGCGCTTGACCGCCGGTCAATTTCGCTCAACCCCAGTGCAAAGCATATTTACTCTCACGTGATGCAAGCACCCCGCCCCCCTTCCCGTTTTGCAGCAGGCCCCGTCGACCATTGTGTTGCACTCGAATGTACATATTGTATTCTCCACTGTGCTCGCTATTACAAAACATGTACTATAGTAGATTGTGATACTGTCATACCATAATAAAAATGTCATGTCTGCCCAGATCATTGCCCCTGTGCCTTGTTGCCTCCATCCAGTGATACCCCATGCTCTGTCCCACCACTGTGTTATCTTCCTGCGCTGCTGTCAGAGATGTTGGATGAGTGGTGTGTATGCATGAGCAGCCACAAGTAGACACTCTCACCCTAGTACTGCAACGATGAGAATATGTCTGCGGCGTGATACTGACCTGCCCTGATACAACGGTCTATACTCCTATATTGATGCCTGACTCGTAGACAACGAGCGAGGACTTATGGACAGTGCGTCGTCCTGAAGATCGAGCGAGGAAGTCGAGAATGACCACTACCCCAAGCGAGGAGGAGCAGAGACTTGAATGAATAACCAGGTCGAACTTAGGGTTCGACCGACTAATGGTACAACTACTTATACAAGTACCGACTACGCACGGACCATCGTGTCTATGTGGTCGTGTTAGTGAAGAAAGAAACGTAGTGGTACGATACCAGGCATGAAGTGCGCACGGACCCCATTATGTAAGCTACATAATGTTCAACCTGCGGGTGAGCGCTAAGACAGGCGCCAGTATGGGCGCTAGTAGTACAAGGAATAGAACGGAAAGACAAATGTTTCATT